ATACCGTACATGCAAGCGTTCGCAAGCTAAATTTTACTCTTTGGCCTATTAATCATTTAAATAGTTATTTTTATGGATATCGGCATGAGAAATTGGCGTAAACTATGTGCACGTTGGTTACGTTCATCATGTGCATCCGGTAAATTATCTGTACACGTTATACCTTGGAACGAACCACCTGTACTTCTTCTCAACTGAGGAAAATCTCACCGAAATCTAAAACTGTATTGCGTAAGTAGAATTGAAAATGACTCGCGGGTATAGTGTGCATGCGTTAATAGAAATATAAATCAATTGTAAGACTATGTACATGAAATTTGTGTAAATTTCATATATGTAAATTACAACCTAAAACACTAGCTTGAGGTTCGATCGTACAAAATTTCGTTTGCATTACGAAGATGCACTAATTTTTTAATACAGCGTATAACTCGTGTACTAAATACTCGTAATTTTGAATTCCGTATTGTAAAAAAAAAAGTAATGGTCATGATAGAGAAATGAACCTGAAATATATGTAATATTGTTTACTCAATTAGCTCGATACAATCCTCATACCGTTAGCATATATGCAATCGATTTTTTTTTATTTCCTTCATTTTTTTTCACTACGCGTGATTATACCTGTCGGGTAAAACGAACTGGTGAACAAATGTACCTGTCCGGACAGTACAAAGTCGGGCAAAACGAGTTGTCGAGCAAATGGCCTGATACAGTTTATTTCATTTACTTTAGTCATTTTATAATCTTCGTTCGTTTTTGTTACACGCTTTTTCCATTGAGCGTTGAAAATACAAAGCAATTATTTTCTAACCAAGCAAACAGCGTCTATAGAAATGCTTTATTGAATTGATTTACAGGTCGTTACGTTTCGGCGTGCAATATCTATGTATCACAACAAAAAAAAACGGACATTTTTTTCTGATATAGTCAAATAATCTCGTGTTAACATAATTCATAAAATAAGCATCTGAACTCTTCTTCGCGTTAAATGCGCTTGTTCACCGAACATTGCGGTTTTTCAAAATTCTATTTTTTCCCCCTACTTTACTTTTCGACAGTATTAAATATTCTCGAGTAAATGGAATTTCCTCAACATTTTTTTTTTTTTTTTCAAAAAAAAATTCGTACAGGTACATTTGTTACGTTTATTCGTAACATTTGTGCTCCGTCGTCAAGGCCAATCGACAATAAGAGACATGCAAGGTTCTTCGGCGACGTCACGCTAAGGATTACGAGACAGCCGGTACTTTTTCGAGTTGCCAGAGAAGAGGGCCAAGACACGACAGAGATGAGGAGAATCTGGAGGGGAGAAGACAAGGGATGGAGAGAGACAGAGACGACTGGGTTGGTAGATGGTAGAAAACTAGTCGAGAGTTGGGACCCTCCGTTTCGCGTTGGATGCTTTCCACGCTTGACTACTCTCGAGAACCTCGCGTCGCGTTACTATTGCCACTCGACCATGTATACAGGCTGTTCAAAGAGTCCCTACGTGCCTCCCCTTCCCGAAGATGGCTCATGGCTCCCGGCTGAATTGTCATCTCGAGATTCTTCGACAAAGTGCTTGCTGTTACTACTATGCAAATATTAACATACATGGGCTGTATGCAGTCAAAAACTTCTTCGATACACGAGACATCAAATGCCAGTTTCAGTCTCAATAATTTTTAGTCTATTTTATTTTTATCAACTTTAATTCCTGATCCACCCTTGATCCGTTAATATACTCTTCGTCAATTTGGAATGATTAATCAATCCTAATATGGAAATTGGGTGATTTTTATCCGAAACAGAGAAAGAGCCTTTCCTCCTATAATGATACATTGTTTAAGGTTATATCATATCGTTAGCTACACAGTGATAATTATAATCAAAAAAGATGTAAGCGTGTCAATGTGTTTTCTGTTTTTTTTTCCTGCCAAAACAAAATGAAAGATTTTGTACAATTACTTAGACAGAGCGGATCTACAAATTACGTAGAATTAAGATCGGTATATTTATTGTTTTTTTGAAGTTGATAAATGACAAATATATTTTTTAATCAATTTTACGTATTACACCGTCAGGTAATAGCCGTGTACATTCTGGTACGATAGTCGAAATTTTGTACAGTACTATTCATGATTCACGATTCTCGTGCAAATCGAACTTTTCGCTCTGATTGATTTCAATAAAAAAAGAAATACGCCGGATAATTTCAATCTGAATGAAACCTCCTGGTCAGACTTCGGGCTTGGTCATCCGGTGGTTTTCGTGGAAAAATAAAATACCACGAGGTGAAGTAGCGCTTTCGCGTAAGTGCATGCAGATTCCGGTGCCTTAAGTGCATGAGCAAACGATTTCACGAGGGTCGTTTTTCATCAAGACGAAAAATAGTGTTGGTCAGTTTCCTCTTAGGAATAAATTTCAAACCAAGAGGGTCATCAGTTTACAGGAGCCGACCGGACCAGTGAAATAAGAGCACGATGGTCGATCGTTAGCTGAGAATTTTGGCACAAGAAAATCCAAACGGTATTTGCTTATGAATGACCGTGCTGTACTGGTTCCCATACACTTCCCATTATGGCAACTGATAGATTCACCAATTGGACAATGGTGCATATTGCGTACTGGATACTGAATAGCTGATGAAGGATGCTGGATGCTCTACGTTTCGCTCGACGGAAGGATGATTGATGGGGTTACTCCAACCGATGACTATTTGCCTCCAAACGAAATCCAGGATATGGAGAAACGCTGCTACTACACGACGTGCCTATTAAATTTAATACTCGTCAACGCCCCATATGGATTTGCCTTTGATTCGCGTTCGCTGTTGAAAGAGAACGAGATGAAACGTGTGTCTAAAAAAAAAATTGATAAAATGAAATTTCCGTGAACGAATCGGTCGCGCGTTATAGGTCTGATGCAGTGAGACTCGCCATAGTCGTTGGACACCACGTGGCCATGGATTTTAAATTGTTAGGTTAGGTTACGTAAGCACGCGCGGAGACGGTGAGAAATTTGAGTCCGCTGCGATACTACTTTATCAGTGCTTATCTCTCTGATGTATTTTACTCTGGTAGTTTCAGACCATCTGCAGAGCCATGCTTCTGTCTGATACTACCTGTTAGACCCTCGTCAACGCTTTAGACGCTTTTATACCTGTGCAGGTGTGATGACTGATGCGCAGATGCAAGCTATCTAATGTGGCTTTTAGACTTGTAGCTATCTAGGTTAGTCGCAAATCGGCTTACGTAAATATACAGAAATTTAATGTCGTTTCGTGTTACATCCGCAGCTTCGTGTTTACGTACGAATGGGACAATTATTAATACAGCGACGTGAAAGCTGTGCACAGTATACGCAACGAAGTTGTACGATTTTACTTAATGTGCTCGGAGAGAAACAAGAAAAATTATTGAAACGGATCGGAGTAGTCTAGAATAATTATGACGTCATCGTCTTATACAGAAACTTCGCATCGAAATATGCTACATCATTTTTAACATTTTATACTGGAAATATTTTTATTCTTCATCTCCGATTGTTGGGCTTTCTTTTTCTTATCATTTCTTACAAAGCACAGTGCGTAAGAGTTGACAGTTCAAACATTCGTCTTTAGTTATGTAAAACGCTGAAATTGCTCTATTTTGTTTATCGTATGACACGAAGTATCTATTATTATTTGTAAGACAGTTTGAAGTCAACGAACAATTTTTTTTTTTACTTCAGTCATCGGATCAATTTCCTTAATTGCTACTAATTAGGCTTATTTGCATTCATCGATCATAAACCGAGATGAATATACTTACATAGGTTTACATATGTACCAGATTAAGTTGATACGTTTGAATTAATCCTGCACGTGCAGACAATTTGTATGATAAATACTAATTACCTTCCTTCTTCTACACCCGCTTTCTTCGCGTATCTTAACTAGTGCATAAAATTTACATGCACGAAGCACAACCGGATCTGGTCTATCTAAATACGTATTACTTTTTAATTATCATTTTAAACACGTCTGTCACTGCTCAGAAGTAATTTTGTGATCGTATCTTTAAAGCGATATTATTATAAATATACGTGTTGGATATTGATTATATGATTATATACACTTGACGGGTAATTTACAACTTGATCTTATACATACGTCGATCAATATGCTGAACGTCTGTTGAGAGACGTTGGGACACAATGTCTCATGAATTTCATGGATCTACATACGTCGCCTGTCTTCCTATCTAGGGAAGCATTAACGTGGGTTCAAGATTCGTTGAGTGTCTAGAGTGTCGGCTCGCCAATTTCACCAGTTGCCGATGATTTAGAGAACAGTCGCCCAAGTCTACGCATGAACTTGACAGCGTTGTGCCTCTAAGAGGGTGTAAACTGACAACGAGATATAGCGAAGTTAGATTGCGACGAGATAAGCCAAAATTATTATTATTGTTGTTGTTATTATATTCTAAGTCACGAACTAGGAAACATATTACGTTTGGCCTTAGGTTCATTTTATACGACGAATAATGCTATTTTATTGTGTTCCTTGGAAATGTTGATGAACAAAAGAGATGAAAGAGATCTTTTACATCACTGTGATACAGCCAGTGGTTGATCTTGCATGATTATGAACTCTCAAATCCAGTTTGTCCGCGATCAAAATATTCTATGAAAAAAAAAATGTTGATAAAGCCAGTAACTTGATTTTTTATTTATTCGGGATTGCTGTTAAAGTATTATAACTTGGGTCAAGCTTTTTGGACAGGAAATTTGAATCGTGAAAATTTGGTATTTTATGGATTTGCGTATGACGTACGACTTAAGAATCATCTTGAGTCATTGATAGATATATGTCATTTAAAAATAATAATGTTTGAAAAAAATAAACTTTTTGCCTCTTCATGATGGGAACATTAATTAGGTTTAAGAAAATTTCACAAAATGATGTGCTGCATGGTGAATTATCGTTTTGTGTTAAGGTAAGCTTGATTTTTAATTGAATAATACTTTTGTTGCAGATCTGAAGGGGAGCAAGGCGATTAAAATGGCGGTGATGATGCTGCTAGTCATTTTATTTGCAACAGGGCTAGCCTTAAATGGCGAACTCCTGGAACAGGACTGCCCTGTGGATTGTCACTGCCATTATTTTCGCATCAATTGGGTGACTGATTGCTCCGAGAGCAATCTGACGAGCATACCTTATGACGAGCTGAGTCCAAACGTTTACATCCTTGATATGAATGGGAACAACGTGGCACATTTGGGTCCGTTCCCACGCGATATCAAGCTCAGACGACTGCAAATGGCACACAATAAACTTACTGAACTCAGTTACGAGTCTTTCGCAGGACTCAATTATCTTCTTGATGCAGATTTCTCGTATAACTCCATCTCTCACGTTGACCCTGAAGCTTTTAGGTAAGTCGAAAAGACTATTCTTTTTTATTGCACTCTTCTATTATGTTCCAAGGCTCAAGTGATTGGCTAGACTAACATCTCCATGGCTTTGGATGTGACAAGAATGTCTAAGGAAGAATTTGGTTCGTTCAAAAAAATCCAATACAGTACCGAAAAAAAATAATTTTCCTCAAGGTCTTCATACCTTTAAAGTTTTGAAAGACATCGTTGGTTCTTTAAATGACATAAGAAAGAATGTTAATTAGATTTAAAGATCTCTAAAATGCTGGATTTAGTCCGATTTATAATATTCTATCGGTATTGACGGCAGGAGACGGGTATAACAAGATTAGTATTTAAAAAAGATCTTATTGAGTCTGCTGTCCTAGTTTTTATTATTAGTAACAGCGAGTATCGCTTAAGTAACACAGAGCCACTTCATGGATGATGATATTTATTGATCTATGGTATAAAAAATAGCTACATGGTGTTAGCCAATCACTATGTTTTTATTAAAAAATTCATACCTATAAGCGTGTTCGCCTTTGCTTGTAAGTTCATGTTTTGTTCAAATCAATATAATTGCAAATAATATGAGTATATTTATTAATTACGTGTATGCTATGTGTATTCTGGTACAGTTGATTCCTTGGATCCATGCTGCCATTTAAGGAGGAACTATATGTATAATATATGGTAACCTTTACTTTTCCCGATTCGGATCTCCAGATCCGGCGGGTTCGAGCCGGTAACTCGGTGAATGGAAATAGTAAATTAATTTGACGGAACAAAGAATGAATCAACGTGGGTTTTGTTAATAGAAGAAGAACAGAGTAAAATAGTGTTATAAGGTGCCCAGCTTAGGGAATGCTGGTTACAGCTGGTTAGTGAACAGTGTTCAATAGTATGAAGAAATGATAAGTCAAAGCGACATGCAGAAATTATAATAACTGATAGATAAGTTTTGTGATTTAATTTAAATACAAACTCGTGATCCTAACTACGTACAGATATTTCTAACTCGTCAAATTTTACTATTTATCTCTCTTAATACCGAATTGAGTTAGGATGGGGTCGCGTCTAAATGCAGCCGCCGTCTAGCGGAATTTGAATAAAGGGTTGACTCATTAAATGAAAAGCGTCGTGCTGATGAGCAGTCTTGTGAGAACTCGTGAGCACAGGTTGACTCGTCCCTATCACAGACAACGCACTATCTCTGGCATGTAAAAAAGACGTTTTCCCAGAGTAGTGGGTTGTACAGAAAAATTCTGGTAAAATTATGATGGCATGTTACGGGAGGGGCACTATTATCCTAATTTTCAAAGTAACGTCCCGTGTAAATACGGAAAGTGGTTTTACCTCGCAGAGAAGGCGGTTTGCTCCTAGCCCAAGACGGTTTGCTTGTTCTTACGATAGTCAGAAGTATCTTTACAATTGTGGTCAAGCGGGACGATTTGCCGGGTTGCCCGAGACGGTTTGCGATTTCTTTTTAGAAGATACCCTAGCTAACGCAAGTGGCAGAATGCTCTGGCTAGGATACCCTCGGATGGTAGGTTGGGTGAATTGAGGGGTGCGGAGGATTTATACGTCGCGATGCCTAAATATGTAATGTTACTAGTTCGTATGGAAGGTTATTCGGGCTCGCGGGATTCTATCGTGGCACTCCGAATATGGCTTGATGTATTGGTTACAATGTATCAAAAATGTAAAACCGATATCGTTTAAGAAGAAACAAGATTAGAAAAAAACAGTAGTATTACTTAATCCGAAGGAAAAACAAGTTTCTAACAGGCTCTGCTTTCATAAATTTTCTATTAAATTTTCTAAGATTGTTAGCATCACAGAAAAGAATTACGAAACACTTGAGACAATAGGGTTCCGCGATCACCGTTACTAAACCTTGTAAAACTTTATTTACTAAGTTTTCTGCTTCTTAAGAATTGTTGGGAGTATACGCATCAATTGAAAAAATGTGTTTGGTAACTTTAAAGTGACCTAGATGTCTTAAGTAAACTAAAAGTCGCATTAAAATAACACAAAGTTTTCGAAAACCTAGTCCTAACAAATCTTGAGAATCTTCGGCTTTTACTTTCCGTCAAGTCGAAGAAATTGAAAAGTTCTTTATGCGCTAATGATGTAGTTTGCTTCTTGATGACATAAATGGAATATTAGGATAGACGCCATTAAAAATATAAAACTTTTCATTGATGCTTCTTGTATTTCTAAACGTTGTTAATTTTTTTAAATACGTAAGAATACTTGGAACATAATTATTTCTTTATTTTTTATCCATACTATTAAAAAGATACATTATATAGCATAAAAGTGCTGTACGAATAATATTGTTTTCCAATTAAGAGAAAGTAATTAATGAAGCTTTTCTTATTATTTTTTTTAGAGACAGCCCAGGTTTGATAACGCTTGAACTCCAAAATAATCCATTGGCCGAAGTGGAGGGCCATTTCTTGAACTGCCGACCACTGCTCTACCTCGATCTCAGCAGCTGCGGCATTCGACGACTTAATAATCAATTCTTCCACAATACTACGAATTTGAATAAATTGGATCTTTCAAACAATCCACTGGGACGACTGGAGCCAGGACCCTTCGATCACTTAACCAATCTTGAATATCTAAAACTCAAGAATTGTGGATTGACTTACATTTCACCAGAAACATTTTCTCATTTAGAAAATCTTCGCGAGCTGGAACTTTCCGAAAATGACCTCCGTTCACTCAGCTGGACCAATTTATTGGCTCCACTGGTCAGATTAGAACTTCTAAATATTCGCCATTGTCATATTACCAACTTACCAGGAGACGCTTTCGCGCGCAATCTTTATTTACGTCAGTTAGTCTTGGCCGACAATGAACTGTGGCATTTGGATGTTGGCAATACTTTGGGTCACAATTTACACAGCCTACAGAGCTTAGATTTATCCAACTGTAACTTGCAAGATCCTCTGTCTGAAGAAGCTTTCCGAAATAGCAGTGGATTGCGCGTTTTGAATTTAAGTGGAAATCCAATGTCCGCTGGTGATCTTACAGCTGTTTTACAACATCTCCCGAAACTCCATATACTCTCACTGAGTAACTGCAGTTTACGAAAATTGCCAGACGCCTTCAATATGCTTGAGCACTTGGAAGAATTGGACATTTCACACAATCCATTGAACGATGCGTTTGTAAGTCTCTTGAATCCTCTGAGATCGCTGGAATATCTGGATATGTCATACAGTAACTTGAGTTATGTCGGCAACAATACATTCGCGCAAATGACTTCACTCAAGAAATTGATACTCTCTGGGAATCGTCTTCATACACTTGAGCAAGGCCTGTTCGCTAATTTGACACGATTGGAAAGTCTGGAGCTGAACAATTGCGATTTAAAAACTCCAATAGATCCAACAGTATTTGGAGATCATGCTTATCCCGCAGTACTGGAGTTAAAGCTTAGCGGAAATCCACTACAAATACCAGAAAATGAAGCACTATTGCCTAACCAACTATCAAAATTAGAAATACTTGATCTGAGCAATTGCAATCTCAATCATCTTCACGAGAATATTTTTGATCACTCTACAAACTTAACAAACTTGAACTTATCGAATAACCGAATATCAACTCATGACAGTCTGAAATTCTTGAAGAAACTGCCGTTGCTCCAGCATCTTGATTTAAGTGGAAATCAGTTAACTTCCGTGAAACCTAAATTGTTCGAGATGAATCGTCGTCTCTTGTCATTGAATCTCATTGGCAATCCTATCGTTTGCAATTGTTCTGTAGCTGAGATGTGGAATTGGGCTGAAAAGGTGAAAGGTGATTTGCACATACTTGTAGGTAGTCAGCCAGCAGAATTTGCAGCTGGTGCTGTTAAGTTAAAGAAAACATTGAGCTGCTCTTACGACGAACAATCGTATCGTGACATTCTGGATCCAGCTAAACCCAAAGCTTTTGCTCGTAAAGGAGACGCTACGCCTAATCGTACTTGGGCTAAATACACCAGAGAGTCAGGTTGCGCCCGCGCATGATATTCAGAGGCCAAGTTTCAACATCCGATAATAAATCTGTTCGTTTTCAATGGTTATAGATCAAAAGGAGAGTTTTAAGCAATCTCAGAGTAGTAGGATTTCGCTATGGGTCCGCTTAATGTTAATCACATATTCTAATTGCTTCATTCTGTTTATCCATCTTTGTTATAATTACTATACATGTATCATTATTGTTCTTTTCTCCTAATACATAAAGGATTCTAGTCGCAAATTGACTGATCGTTTGAGGCATCAATATATATATGTGCTTCATTGTTGTTTTGGTTGAGTATCTTGTAATGTACGCTGTACCTCCTGCTATTACATTAAAGTACTCTACTATATTAGCACTTTTTCATCGTAGTAGCATTGAATGTGGATCTGTAATACAACAAATTCTCACAAATAAGCACAGAAAACAATAATTCAGACAGATTGGAGATAAAAGAAAGAAAAAATATTTCGACAGTTTCAACTTTCAAGCTTCTTTTAAGTTGCAAAGTATCTATTAAGTTAAATATCATCATAACACTATAGTCATATAACAATGTATAAGTAGTAAGTGAAAATAGTCGTATACATGAACTAAATCGAACAAATTCTCTTCGAACAAAATCTGTAACATTTTCAAAAAATTTGTTAGTTTCATCATATTCAGCAACCAAAAATTATGTCTGCACTACTATTGTCTATAATATGTAGAAAGAATTTCATGCGCATAAACATTCTTTAAATACAAATGTACAGCAAATCGGGTCAAGCGTATGCAAAGGTTCACAAGTACCTATGAATAATAATAAAATAATAATAAATAAAATAATAAATGAACTAGACTATAGCTGCGCTCGTGACTGATGGTAATTCTTGTGAACGTAATTAATTGTACTTGAATGTTCGCGAATCTTGCGTGATGCTTGGGCAAAACTTTAAAACTGTCGATAAACACTTCTCAAAAATGAATAGTACATACGGGGAACGGGGGTCCGATCACATTATGTCACGCTATAAAGATTATTCATACAATCTGTACTCCGTTGAAAAGCAATTACTTTCTTACAGTGTAGGAAATGTCGTCGGAAAAGCATTTGAATTAAGGTTGAGGATTAGAGAAGTTAAACTAGGGTCGAGCCTACTTGAACCCAAGCTTAATATTTTGAAGCTAGCCGTAGCACGTGACCGGACCATGGGCGAAATCCTTTGAAATTGGTTGAACTGCTGATCTTTAAATATTCTTATGAAAAACGGAATGAAATAATCTTTGCATCCTTTTAATGCGAGAAACTTTATTATCGGATATTGAAATCTTGGTGGTCAAGGGGAGGGGGGGATTAAAATGTATTAAAAATTTCTTTTTCATTATTGAAATTATTTAAGCAAAATTGGTCAGGTCATATTTATGCTGACATTTGTAAAAAAACTGTTATAGTGGTATGGGAAACGAAAAACGTCACTTTTAATTATCTTACACGAATTAGGCGTAATATTTAGCAATTAAGGAAATCCCTAGACCTAAACTAAAAGAGAGAAAGAGAGGAGAGAGAGAGAGAGAGGCAAAATTGTAAAGCAAATTTCAATTTGTAATTCGCTATAAGATCAGATCAAGGCGATTACTGATAATTAAATGCACGTGTACACGTATGTGCGTTTATCTCTAGCTATGTTTATCAGTTATATTATGTTTATACTTACGTACAAAGTAATAATTGAAGCAATAATTAGCTCCACTTGATATCAATCAATATTCAATATGCAGATTATATTGGAATGTCAAAAATTGTCAGATAACACAGGAGCATTTATGGATTGACAGTCATACAGGGAAACAAGATCAATACTTTCATTTCCTATATGATATGCATATCGATTACGAAACATAATTTACGTGCATTAATCAATTTTTTTTAAGCTATTAAGAATTAATTGGTACATCATTAAAATATACTTTTTAAAATAAGAAGATAAAGAGAGCCGGAAAATCGAATCAGCGGAAATTAATGGTCTAAGGAGCACTTAATATTATATTTCCTATTTGTATAGAGACGCAGATAGAGGAACGTTCTACGGACAAGCTTTAAAAATTTTATTTAATTATTGCCTACATCGGATAAATCCAAACTAATGGAAGCCCTGTTCAATATACCCAAAGTATCGTTTAGTTACTACTTATATTATTTGAAAATTATGCAAAAATATAATCAATTATTTGTGGAAATTTATTACTCAATGTTGATGGTGTTATATATCATTGTTTAATTACGCGTTAATGTATTAACAAATGATAGGAAAGAAAAATGTGAAACGTATTTGCAGATCATTGTACATCATTTGAATACATTTAAAATCATTATTAAGGTACATGAGAGATTAAGATAATTGGAGAGAGGGAATATAATTTATACTAAAATGTGCGTTATAATTTTTTCCATCGACTTGTATTTTACGACCGAATTTCAAGCAATTACAAAATATCAATTCTAGATATACCGCCAAAGTATATGATTCCAGGTTTGACCGTCAAATTCCCGCCACTTACCTCAATGTATACCTTGAATAACATTGATATTAGGTACCATTTTCATTCACTATATTCATCTATGTACATCACTGTTTAATAAAAACATCGTTCTTCTTCCTGTAAAAAATGATTTTTGTATTCTTTAATGATAATTGGGAGAAATTTCGAGAAAAGTACTTACTGGAAGCTATGATCAGGTCTGAGCATTTCGCAATCAGCAAAATATAGGATATGTCGCATACTACTTTTAACATGTGTAACGAACGAAACGCCTCAGAATTACATCTTGAGTATTACGGAACGGCCTTCGCCCGAAGTATTTAAATTTTCTACCGGTTGTACATACATTATTACCTGGTACGTTTTCGCTTTGCGTTCCACATTGTGTCTCAGCCTTTAGTGTTTAAATATAAACACGATCTAACCTAACCTAATTTACCTTAATCATGCCTGGAATTTGAATTTTATTAACTTACGAATTAAACGTCTATGATACAACAAAATTCAACCAGTCACATGTGATTTCATAGCCGTATTTTTATACGAAATTTGTATAATATAGATTATATTAATATTTTATAATTATGGTATTTTATTATGATTATAATTACTATTCTTCATGGATTCGTACTAAAAACTTTATAGCACATACAAATTTCATATCAGTTTTCTATTTTCGCACTGCAGACTTGCGCACGCGCATAACGTTAAAAATCATATGGCTTAGTGCCACTTGGTGCATATGTATAATTCACTTACTCTTGCTTCTTATATGTACTTATATAGAATTCTAGTGACTCTGACTCGTGTCATTTCTAGCCGATAATTTCGTTGTGTTCTCCGAAACTATATAATATGGATTCATAACAGAGATTTAATGTGTAATTTTACAATGCACCATTTATCATTGATCATGGAGGAACTTAACCTAATTTATTTAAGTCAAAAGAAGATAAGGCGTTTCACCTACAGTGCCCTGCAAAACTCTGTGTACAGTGGAAAAAATGTAATTCCTAAAGAACCTAAAATAGTAAATGTTTATTAATCGCAAATAAACTTTATTCTGTCCATTATACAATGAATACAACAGAGCATATATGTCTTTTAAATTAAAGAAAGTGGAAATAAAGTATGAAAAGTCTGAAAATTCTTTTGCGAAAGTTTGTGTATAGCTAACACTTTAGTACTGAGATACATTATCAATATTTAGTTAGCCATTCTTTAGCATCAATTACTGTTCTAAATTTTCGAGGTATGGATTTTACTAATTGTCGAGACAAGTATTCTTTTAACTGGGATTTATTGCTGATATCATATTTTCTTAATTTATTTTCAAGTTATGTTCACACACTTTTCTATTGGATTGACATCAGGGCACTAAATAATATTCAAATAATTATTTAGATTATTACTAAATAAGATTATTAATAATTAATAAATAAGCCATATAGATCATTGTTTAGAATCATTGTCATGTTGAAAGTAAAAGTTCTCACCCAAACCAAGTTTTCTTGCACTTTCTTTCAAGTTATCTTTCAGGATATTGAGATGAACTATTTTATACATTCTATTATTGTTTTTTATTATTCAATTTCCGGAACCAGCTGTAGCCATACAGTGCCATATTAAAACTCCGCAACCTCCATATTTCACAGTGGCTTGTAAATCTTTCAATTGCAGTTCTTCTTCTGTTTCTCTCTAAACTAATTTTTTGCTATACCTAATGCCAAAGATTTTAATTACTACTTCTAAAGTATTATTCTCAGATGAAAGTGTATTTAATATTTTTGTGGTAATGGAGTTATAGTATGCGGTTGTATGGATGCAGCTGGTTCTTGAAAATTAATAATCTCAGTAATCATATTTAGTCATTATTAATAATTATTTAATTATTGTTCAGTACCCTGATGACAATTCGATAGAAAATTTGTGAACAGAATTGGAATATAAATTAAGAAAACATGATATTAGCAACAAAGCCCAGTTAAAAGAATTATTGCACCAGGAATGGAAAAATTTTAGCCCAGACTTGTCTCGAACATCAGTCAAATTCATATTTCGAAGACTTAAAACAATAATTGATACCAAAGGATGGTCAACTAAATATTGATAATATATCTAAGTACTGAAAATGTCAGCTGTACGCAGACTTTTAAAACAGAATTTTTGGACCCTTAATATTTTTGCTTGTACTTCCTTTAATTTAAAGACATGTACTGCATTGTGTAAATACATTGTTTAGTGAACATAATAAAGTAGTTGCGTCTAACAAGCATTTACTCTTTTTCATTCTTTAGAACCATATAAACCGGTAATATCACATTTTATCCTCTGTACTAATAAGAGGACTGTCAAATGTTCTAATTTTAAAAAATTTTCAAACTCAGGATGTGAGAAGGTCATCACTAGTGATGTAATTTGCCAAAGCAGTAATACATTCAGTTATTTTCGAAAAATTCGATTTTAAGAAACGCCTAATGGATTATATCGATTGCACGGTTCACAAGTAATAGCAAGCGGTGTGGCAACGTTCTAGTTTAGAAATCGCTGGTTCGTATGTCGCTGTCGTAAATTTGTTTCTGTTCCCTTATTAATTATATTACCTACACATTTACATATAAAATTGGATCAAATCTACACTAATTAACAGACATGTAATCATCATTTTCAATGAAAAACGTACCTACTGGTATTTTGATTTCCTCTCGCTTGAAAAATCATACTTTTTCGTTGAAAATAATGATTTTTGAATACTTTCAAATAATATCTTCAAATACGATCACAAACATAAATCTTCAGATCAATCGTTTCATAATAATAATACAAACCTAGTTTACCTGAGGAGGCCGGAAATTGTACACAAAAGATTTTGACCGCGAGAGAAAATGAGATACGGCGAAATGTGAAAGGAAGGGCAGCTGGAAATTTGATTTTACCATTGGCTGTGGATACAGTAAAAAGTATATTTTGGAGCAATTAATAGTACGGCGAATTTTGTCTTTGACTAATATCATGATACCAGATTAAAGTTTATAAATACAGTTTGTAAAAAAAATTACAATGTCAGTTATTGCATTTGTTGATATGCCTGGCACATCAATGACAGGAAATATCGAGTTTGTTGAAGCACAAATATGGAGTGAAACTTCAAAAATACAATTGAAAGATGGCATTGTGTATTATGAGCTCACCTCACTACAAATGATCTTATCGCACCAGAATCTTCTGCGGTAATTAATGAAGAAGCTATGCTACTGGGCGAAGAAATTTATAGTCGCACACTCGAAATGCTAAACGAGAATAAATTCATAACGGCCGAAGAATTAATAACAATAAATGAAAGTGACGACCAAAACGCGTTTGAAGAAGTTGGAGGCAATGATTCGACAGAAGATTATAAGCCAGAGGGGGAAAAAAACAAACACCCGAGTATATTCCACTGGGCTACAAAATAAGGGTTGTGAATATAGCTAGAGCAAATAGGAACTAGATCCTCAAAAATCTTGAAAGGAAAGGGTGCAGCCGCCTGAAATATATAAACGATTTATCCAGATAGGAAAGATATATTAAAAGTGGTGGAATCACAAAATACAAAAATGCAATCATCGTTTCATGGACGTATGATAGCTTCAGCGAAGTTCGACAAAGCAATCATCAGATCACAACACGAAACTTATAGCAATGGGCTTTATCTGCTGCAAGTCAATTCGAAAATGTTGATTTCAAAGCTTTCGAATCGTGGGTTGCACGATTCAAACGTAAGCATCGAATTCGTCAAAGGAAAATAACAAAATATGTATATGTCAAAAAAAATCTGTTACAGTCTTGATACTACAATTCGATAAGAATTTCGTCATAAATACGGATCAAAGAAGTAATTATAATGTTTTTTAATTTATATTTAATTAGAACATTACTTTTTTTATAATTTGGTATATTTTGTAAATATTTTCCAGGCTCGCAATACCAGTCCGCTCCAATATTTTTAACAATGATACATTATGCTTGGTGTACTTCAAAACTCCGTGATGATAGAGAAATTGTTATGAATGTTAACGGAGTATGCTTTTGCTTCGATATTCTCAAAAAATCTTGCAGCTGTAAAAAATCTGCATTCATAAATTGTGCTATGTGCCGTAAAAATGATTGTTTTGTCTGTTTTTACCATGAATATCACCTTGGTTCTTGCGATACTCCCGTATAAATAAAAAAACAATTACAAAATTATATGGGAAAAATATAAATATTAAAATCAGATATCATTATTGTTTCATTTTATTTTAATCTTAAAACCAAAAGATATTTAATTTCCTATCCGACAATATGCACTTATGTATTAAAATTGAAATTCTTATTCAAAAATCATTATTAACGAAAAAGTACGATTTTTCAGGCGAGAGGAAATTAAAATACCAGTAAGTGCGTTTCTCATTGAAAATGATGATTACATGTCTGTTAACTAGCATAGATTTGATCCACTTTTACATGTAAATATTGTAGGTAATAGAATTCATAAGGGAAAAAAAAATATTGCTGGCAGCGAGATTCGAACAGCGATCTCTAAACTATAACACTGCCCGGTAAGCCACACCGCTCCCTGTTACTTGTGAACCGTGCAGTCTATATGACCCACTCGGCGTTTTTCAAAATCAAATTTCTCAAAAACGATTGATTACTTACGTTAAATTACTTTACTAGTGACGAACTTCTTACAATCTGAGTTTGAACAGTTTTAAAAATCAGAACATCTGACCGTCACCTTGTCAGAATATTGCAAGAACCTTTAAGGTTTCGTGTAATTTTTATTTGCTGTTATTTAACACTTTGTTGTATGATAAATTTCATGCTAATGTCTTTGACTGATTAAGCATTTCTCAAAATCCATATAATAAAGTGCTATAAGGTCCTCATTACAGGTCAAAAATGCTAGATTGCCGGGAATCTAAGAATATTAAATTTGCAAAACATGTATTTTACCACTTTAAATTTTGAAAGTGAACAACGGAATTTGATGTTAAAATTACTTGAATAAAACATACTTTATTAAATGAATGTGCAAAAAATATTGATACCATATCCCAATCTCTTTCTTCACTGTACAAATAATTAGTAACGTAATACAAAAAAAATACAAGTAATGAACATGACAAAACAAAATTAAGCAGTGTTTTTTAAATTTACAAAAAATCGAAAAACATTATAACCACTCGTCACGAATAATTTTTGTTTCATTGAGTAAAAGATTACTTAAATATCTATTATTAATATGTCCATCTCCAATCTTAATATTAATAAAAAAAAACAGAACGTGAAACTTTATTTAAATATTTCAAATACAAAAAATTTTATTTCCTGTCATTTAATTAATTATTGTCAATAATCATTGTACGTTTATAATAACTACTGAAAACAACGACCTAATTAAAATCAGTTAATTAATTCAATATCATGATAAACATGCATTTATTTAAAATTAGCAAAGCGAATTAAAAAAGTATAACTGATTTCAGCCTTATCGTAAAAAAATTAGTTATCATCTATATAATCCGCGTAGCAGAGATATCACTAAATTATAATCCTTATATTGTTACATTTCTACAGTGGCGTACAAGAATAGACACTAGATTATATGTATATAACAATAAGTCAAGGTGTCAAAGTCCACGATTCCTACTTCTTAAACGAGTTTGTACTGATTACGCAAGTAATCATAGACGTGGGAGGTGGAAGGAATGAAAGCTTCACGTGAACACGCAGTGCTTATAGTCCGTCTAACTAATACATCGTGATGCGCGTGTGTCGTTCACCAACTGGACTGTCGTTCAGTCGTTATCTTTACTCAGACTCGATCGGTAAACGGCTGGCTCCTCTAATATTATCGAGGACCATGCTTGATATTCTTGAAAGCGCATTGAACGTGCCAAAATTATATTATGGTGTACTTGCTGGCATCGGTTTCTGCAGTTACTACTTATTCGAAGTAGTCAAGGTCAGTGTGCATATCGATCATAGATATATTACACACGTATTACGCTGAGCATACATTAAATACATTAGCGTCATGAAAAACGTTATTGCTTACACGAGATTGTCAGTACTGTAAATTGAACATTTATTTTCAAATTAGACATATACCTTATATTGCCAATGAAAATATATTGTTATTCTTGTGAATTGTCTTTTATTCACTTGGTCATTCTTATCAATCTTTATTAATCTGACCAGCCATTAGTCGGTGACATACAATTAGGAGTTGACTCTGTGGGAGTTAATTTGTCAATTATTTGAATGGAATATATTTGAATTTTTCGTAATTTGTTAAAGCTTTTTTATCTCTTTCACACCGTCGCTAAGTAACTGATAACTAATTGATTCGAGTAGGAAATACGTAAATCACTTGGATAAGTGATACTGAATTTGTTATATTATATTTTGATAAGATACTAGCAACTGTGATATTGGTATCTTATTTATGGTTTAATTTTTTTTAAATTCTTTAAGTAAAAATTTTGCAAGTCTTTTGTATTCCTTGTGACAGTTATAAAATTTTACTTCAATGTATGTTGAGCTAAGTTAATATATGTCAATTGAAAATTCAATGTATGCTGCTTATAAATTTTACTAAAGTTTCCAGCAAAAGGCATTTTCATATGAAGCTAACATTATTTAGTTGGAATAAAAATATATCAAGCAATATACTTGTAATAATTGCAAATGGTAGATGTCTTTGTTTCTTATTAGCTTTATTATCTTCTGGTCAAGTAAAAAAAAATGAAACAAGCCAGCAAATGAAACGATATAAATATGGAATATCGAAAGCTCCGGTCACGATTATCTCTGCGAAGTAGGTAGACTTACGTTACATGAATTAGAAAACGCATTCATTATTATATCGGGTGACACGGTTATTAGATGTCAGTCAAGGTTTGGAAACTTGGAAAATGAATGAATAGTACAATAATAAATAAAAACTAACAAATGTTACAAAATTGAGTTGGAAGTTTCATAAAACTAAAGATTATATCTCTATAACGATAAGAATAAAATCGCTAAAATATTAAGCAGCATTCATCCGGATCAATGAAGAGCTATTATTAATATGACCTTAGTAGGACTGTACTTCCGGTGACTGCCGACAGCCAGGAAATGACTATATACCGTATGGAGGTTCATTATCGTTTGCGGTCGCTTCAGTAATAGACAAATAGCTTAATCCCTCGAGCATGTTTGCATTCATCCTCGTTGCCAATGAACTTCGCATCTTTTTCAGAAACCGCTTCTCGTCTGTGCTCCAGGACCTTTCCTGAACTTCCTGGAAGAACATGTGCCTATCCTCCGAAGCAAGTTCTGGCCGACGCTTTGGTGTTTCGAGTCGAGGGCCCAAACGATTTTTGCAAGTGTATTACGATCACGATTGTTGCCTAGAGTTCAATATCGCAGGTAGATATTCATTCCGTCATATTTTTTTTAATTTGCATATTATGCATAATGCAAAGAAGAATACATTACAAAAATGGAACATTCATATTTCATGTTCTTACTATCCAAAAACTTGTTGGTGTCCATATATTGCGATACTTGTGCGATACCAAAGTTACTGTGGACATTTTCTTCGAAAATATTAAATTAACGCATTTGCTATACGAAACACCTACGCGCAGTCTCGCGGTCAAATCTTATCCACACAACATTGGGATATTAAAAATGTCATGCAGACGTCGTCAATCGTCGCTATTGACATACGATACACATCCGCAAATGAAATCTTGCAGATGTTATTCTGAAGTATGTTTGTCCCACCTACGGATGTCTTTCTGTCCGTCTTTTGCACATCCTACCATTTATAGGATACATTTCTGACATCCATCTGACAATTTGCTTCACATGAATAGGATATTCTTATAAGATATATGGTCCAGTTATCGGTCATCTACCGGCACACTCACTGGTTGGCTTGACGCGTCCGCTGACAGGTCAAAAAACATTCAATGAATTTATGCATTTTTTTTTAATTTAGAAAATAAGATAAAGCAAAAAACCTATCGATGATTACACGCATGTAAGGTTCCAAAAAATTTTTTATTTTCAATAACTATAAAATATATAATAATAAAATAATAATAAATGATGAAAAAAGATTAATGGACAACGTATGTAAATGCCGACATTGAAACGACATTCTAAAGATGTCATTCTGCGCCGTGTTTAAGAACATCTGCATATTTCAAAACAAATGCCGTATGCTGATTTCAAAATCTTAAAAATGAAACAGGAATACGATTTCAACAAAATATAAATATACTGAACTTTTCAAGCCAGAAGAAATTACAATGTATGAACATTAGTGTACCGAAAATGTAGGTGGAAAACATTGTTTTTACGGTGCATTTCAAATTCGGAATTCGCCTCTTACGCTCATACACATACATATGTTTTCATGATAGCGAATCCACAAATCTAAATATATGTATATCATAGTACACATTTAAAATTCTTTATCAAAAAATGTGTTGCATTGTTAATAATATGATAATGCTATTACAAGTCGCAGCTACTTGTTAATCGTTAAAAAACATATTATGTGTAATTAAAGTCATCTGGCATGTGGAAATAATTTTACTGTAAAAGATTTTCTTTCTACATTAGTCTAAAAAGTCAATATTATATACAGTCATATGATTATTCCTATTGACTTCCATAAGTCACTCATGTGCCATGTAATTTGCAATTTCGCACAACTGATTCTCTTAATATTAGACTTATTATTTTAACGTTTAATTACATTCTTCGAGCTTGGATACTTCATATAAGTCCAATCCAACCCAATGAGAAATATTTCTCAATTAGAACTTGAAAAGCTTATCGCACTTACAGATTTTTTATTAAGAATTGCATGCCAATGGAGGTTACAAATTTAAACGATAGATCAAATTTTAAATTTATATAATAGAGTTCTCTATTGATGCACTGCTGACCATATATGCTCAATAAGTCAGTAACTGCTTCGTTTGATGACGAATATTGTTTTAGGGAAATCCTGACCTTATCTGATGGTGGTGAGGTGGCCCTTGATTGGGCAGAAGAAAGTTGTTCATCTGAATCCCCAATAATAATTATACTTCCGGGTTTAACTGGGGCCAGCCAAGCTGAATACATAAAATGCCTCGTTGGTGCTGCAAAGGATATTGGTGTTCGGTGTGTTACTTTCAATAACAGAGGCTTAGGAGGTGTGAAGCTAAAGGTACCATTATTGTCACTTTTTATTTCTTTGATATCTACAAATATATATAATAATTAATAACTCTTTATTCTTCAGACTCCACGAACCTACTGTGCTGCAAACTGTGAAGATTTATCAGAAGTCGTAGAGCATGTCAGAAAACTTCATCCCACCGTACCAATTGGTGCTACAGGGATATCAATGGGAGGGTAAGCTTTTTTTTTATTACAAATTTTTTAATAAAAAATCACTAAGATATTAACAGTATATTAGAAAACATTACACGTTTATTGTACAAGAACAAATAAACACAAAATGTAAAGTATGCAAAGAATTTGAAGTTATTGGGAAATGTATGGTAACAAATAAATCTAGGCAATGCTTACACTTTGCTATTTATGGACATAATTACGTAAATCAATTGTTTAATAACTATTATTACATTATTGTGTAAAAAAACTTGTAATATTGACAAAATGTAATTATTACATTGTGTTTGCTAGATTCTCTTAACAGTTATTAAATATAGTTTAGGATCAGTATTATTGGCTCATTCAAAAACATTAATATGTTTTTATTTCTAGATTGATCCTCGGCAATTATCTAGCACAATTAGGACCTCTAGCAAAGAAAAAGTTAAATGCAGCATTAGCCATTTCTGTACCTTGGAACGTTTTCGAAGGAACGAAGAGTATTGAGAAGCCTTATCTAAATTTGATGTTGAACAAACATTTAACTGAAAATCTTTGTCGTACCGTCGAGCGTTATCACCAAAATTCAACATTTTTTGACTTGGATATGGAAAACGTTCTAAAGGTGAGTTGTTTCCAAAAATCGTTCACGTCTATATCTATCTATTTGTGATCGTCGATACGTTTGAATATCAAACTAATTAGACTAGAAGGTCATTCGATTAGGATCATAATAATAGTATTCCAATTTCTGTGAATTCAATGTATATTGTTCATCACAGAAATATTTCCTACATAAGGTATTATCTTTGAGACAAGCGGAGGGACAGAGATTCATAATTTAAAAAATGTTCATATTACATATTGTTTAAATACTGCAATAAAAAATGATCAACAAGTTTCAAGATTTTGAATTTAAAAATCATCGTAGTAATATTTAATGTGAAAAAAAGTGTCTCCTACAAATTTAATCTACTTTTACTGGCTGGAAGCTGAGATATTTTGAAAAAATATTGCTATTTCAACGAGCCAATGACTCAGCTAATGAAATCACATTTAATTTTATAATTTTATTTCTGAGGTCTCACAATTACTTCAGTAAAATTCATATATATATATAGATCATTGTATGTTTTGTAAAACTAAACAAGAAATGATTTTATTTCAAGGTAAGGGATAAGTAAGAGTATATGAATTTATATTAATATAGTCAATTAAACATTTTTAATTAACCAATGGTTAATATTGTGCAATTACTTTAGCTATTAATGTATCAAGTCTATTGCTGCCGTTATCTTAAATCGTTTTTATCCCTTTATTCTATCTTTTTGTTTAGAGTAAAACGGTACGAGAATTCGACACGAATTTCACTGTCAAACATTTTGGCTACAAAGATGTTGAAGATTACTACTCAAATGCAACGTTACACAACAAATTGCATCTAATTGAAGTTCCTCTTCTGTGCCTAAGTGCGGCAGACGATCCTTTCCAACCTCTCGAAGGTAATATGTATACATTTTGTATTATATATTTAATTATAGCCGATATATAATATTTAAATATTTATTTATCCTGATTGATTGATATTTCTGTTATTGAATATTAGAATCACTTCTTAATACTAAAATTTGTAATCTAAAGTGATAAGGAAGCTTCAACAAAATCGAAAGTACTAACGGATTACTTTTAATTACACTTCGCAGCAATTCCTATAAACGAAGTGAATAAGTCATCCAACGTAGCGATAATTGTAACTTCAAGAGGTGGTCACATCGGTTTCCTGGAAGGTGTCTGGCCTGCGAAAAAAGAACAATATATGGGAAAAATTTTTTCTCAGTACTTCACTGCCATTTTTACTTCAAGTATCGTCCAACCAGATACTTCTGAGTGTAAATTAAAAAACAATTAACTATGGACATAAATATGATTTACTACAGTCTTTTTTTAATTTAATTCTTTATGGTTGTGTTATTGTACAATCAAAATACAATTGTATGTACAGTCAAAAATATTCACGAATCCATATTATAAGAAACGACTTAAGAAGCAGCTTTTGTTGTGTATGAACAGAATAGATGTTGTGAATTATGTAATATTAATTCACAGTGTCTTAGAATTATAATTTGTCGACATTTTGACTTGTCCTAATATTTTTGGTCAATCAATATAACCACTATACTAAATTATTATAGCAGTAATTGAGAGATTGTATTTTTAATTTGTTTTAAGTTAAAATTTCTCATTTTAACAGCGGATCTTAATTTATCAATATCAAATTATGATATATAATTTTCTACTAATTTAGATACGTACTAAGGTCACAAATTGTAGTATTCTGATTATTATTAGTAAATAATTTTAAAGCAAACCGTAATAAGTTATCTTTCAGATATCTAATATGACAGAAGAGTATTCTTTAGGTGTGTTAAAGATGACTATAGAATTTGTATGCTATCTGGGATATAAGGAAACGTATTCCATATTCCCATAATTTACCTGTTATTTCAATTGTTCCCAAAAATAAACCTTTTTTACATATGAAACATTGAAACCATTTATTACATTTATTAAATTTTTTACTTTTAATTTACATCTGATGTCTCAAAATAACAATTCACAAGTTGCATCATATTCTGTGTTATGACAAAAATTTGAATTAATCCTTATGTCAATACCCGACTACCCTTTTCCGTTGTCCCACATAAAATTTTTTAACTTCCCGTCAAACTATCCACAATTGCTTTAAAATCCTCCTTATTTCGTCAATTTCACATCGATATATAAATATATATTCAGTTTGGAAAAAAAAAAAGTTATAAAATCCAAATAATGAAGTTGAATCTACGTTTGTTCAATACCCGTGTACCCGCATACGTCAATGTACCACTCGTATTAAATTTATAAGCTAACAAATTAAAATAATAATTAAGCATGACAACAAATACAAAGTAAATAAATAAATATTGATATTGTTAGTTTGAAAATAACTTATTGTGATTTATAATTTTTTTAAATGAACTCATAACGAATTTTTATAGGTTACACTCTTTATACTTAGTAATTGCGTTTGCATGTTCATCGCAAACAGGTTTCTTACAAGTTTGACACGATTTTCGCGTTTTCCTACGTTTTTTAAATGAACTCTTGTAACCAATATAACATAAGCCAATGACAACCTTGCGTCCAGTAGGACGTAACGTTTGTGCAGACCCAGTTGCTATTACAGTATTGCTTCGAAGCACTTCGAAGATTCACAGGTTTGGCGTATATGCTTTCGATGGCCAGCTCTGTTGCAAAATTTCTCATCCCCTGACTATTTTGAGAACGATCTCCAATTGTTGGCATACAAAATTCTTCACCCAGTTGGCGTAAAAATAATCGGCATTGGTTTGCTTTCTTTTTGAGCATTTTATTATTTTCAAAATAAATTATGTAAGAAGCAAGACTGGCAATGTCAAGAATATTTAAAAAAATTCAAGAGGCCATCGATAAGTCCGCCTGTGTGCAGTGTATCGCCATAGCATCTGATCCATCGTGATCCATAGTATCAACACAAATTTTGGTTTTGTTATAATATTGAATAATTTCCGGTTTCTGATATCGTCATATTTGAGTGCATCGTGAATAGTAGTATAACTGCCTTATTTTTTTTACACATATAATGACATTCTCGTGAAATCCATGTAATGTTAAAAATTTTATACGGATTTTGAATGCAGCCATCTCCGCAGAAATATATTTTTTATTCTTCTTTAGGGTCGCAGCAATTGTGAGGTTCCGCGATAATAAATGTTTCGCCAAGGGTAGAGTAGTAAAAGAATTATCATCGAAATGTTTCTACCTGATCCCTTATAAGGCGAGGTCAAATCTTTTACTATTCTTTCACCTTGATTTGTTTCGCGACCGATTGTAGATTTCCCTGTGTAAAGTTGACTAGATAGTGAATTTTCAACATCACATATCGACCATACTTTTAATCCATACTTTGCTGGTTTTGATGGAATATGTTGTGTAAACCTCGTTCGACCTCTATATGGGAAAAGTTGCTCGTCGATTGTCAAACATTCAGTTAGTTTGAATAGTGTTGATAAATTTCAATTCAACACAGTCCATATATCGCGTATAGGAGTTGCTTTATCCTCCTTTATGCGAACAGCTCGAGTATTTGCATCGTCAAATCGAATAAATCTTACAATATTCCAAAATCGATTGATAACTATCGCTGCTGGATATAATGGATATGAAGTGGATCACTAGATGTCAGTTGCATAGTCAGTGTTCGAATTATTTTCACCAGACTTTATCAAAATTCCCAAAAATGTATAAAATTATTGAAGTGTAAGATCTTTCCATACCAGTTGCTTCTTCGTAGGATTTTCCTCGTTGTACGCGTGGTAAATTGTAATCGCTTTCTTATTTGTATGACGCAAAATAATATTGACCATTTCGACAGTGAAGACACTCTTGAATGTATTGGAAATCGAGAGCATTTCCGTTCTTCTGTGTGGACCACTTCTCTGCCGGATAATGTTACGCACTGCGGTTGGATGCTGCGCTGGTGGTGTCGAGTGGAGACCAAATCATCTTATCTTTCAATACAAAAATTGTCGTCGACTCTGATGGTTCTTTACTGCCTTCACTTTCAACCAGATCATCATCATTCTCGCTTGCATCATCTGCTTCACTCTTTCGATCTTCTACTAAATGTGCGCTATACATATACAACTTATAATTTACATAGTATAAAAATAACACTGTATAATACCAGTATCTTCGTGGTCTAAAATTTCTGAACCCTGCGATGGCCTTCTGGCAACGGAATAAAATGTTCGTTGTTGCTATCCGATGGATTGTTATCGTCTGCAGCAGAGTCCTCTCCTAATAACTGCCTCAAATAAGCAGCCCTTTCTTCAGCAGTCAATATTTTATATGAAATTAATTAGAATTTTTATAACAGTATATTCATTCATTATAGAATGGAAATTTCATATAAATGTATTCATCTATACCTTGCAAATTCACATCCCGATAACTCTTCCATTTTTCTTGTTAATATTCTGAATGAAAAAAAAAACACATTTCAATGTTTACAATAAAAAATAACGCAAAACACCAAAGCACAGCGTTCACAAAATTTTACTGGATGTCCCAACGTCCGCATCGGGCCAGGTCCCGTTTGACAATGACGGTAACGCTACTGAACCCCTCGCATAACTATAGGGCCTTCGTCATAATTCTTTTCGTCTCGTCCCCTTCCCAAGGTTCTCTTTAACCCTGCAGATTTCAAGTAAACACATCGAGACGGAAATTCCGGGTCATAGACCCGCTTTATTGTATGGATTATAGGGTATAATGGATATAAAGGTACACGAGTACCCTGGACATTGAATAACGCACATGAGCTTGAGTATTGACATAAGGGTTAATTAAAATATTTAATTTCTCAGTAGATCTCATTTTTGTTCCATGTAAATTACGTAACAACGTATTATGAAATTAAGCGTAATTTAACAATACAAACAACGTAGAAAGTAACTTGAAAGCAATATATAACAATTACAAGAGATAGGAGAAGGTTGTCTAAATCGTACCGTCGCAATAATTAAATAACTATGCAACTGTAATAACATTTGTAATTTATATACAGAATCTTTTCTGTCTCAATTATCGGTAAGTAGTTTATTAATAAAAATATAAAAAGTGGTACGACTTAAACAACTTTACCATATTGTTAACATTCGCTACATAGAAAGTTATGAAAAAAAAGTGTTTTTAAATTGATTGTATGTTAAAGGCAAACAAAGTTGGAATATATTTAAGCAGCATGGCATAACAAAATGAATAAATTTTATCAAGTGCTTATGATTTCTACTTTACATAAAATTTATTCGCATAATTCAGGATTGTTAGTGACCCTTCTACTACTATGTTAGATATCGTGGTTTTCTGAAAAACGCAACATTAACTGAGATAGGACATATATATAAAAATACTGAAAGCTTTAAAAATTAAATTTTCTATGAAAGAATAATGTATGCTTTAAACTTCTAGCACTTGTATAAGCTTATATACGAGCGTTTATGCACGAGGCAAATCTGAAATTTTTTGAAAATAAAGATTTTTCTATAAAATCTGCAAATTTAATTTATATAATAAATGAGTAATAAATCTAATATACGCAGTGCATAATAAATAAGTCTTCATAATTCCATCGACAATTCAGACCTTGCGTGCTCAGCCCGAAGTCGATACTGTACAATTTTGGGCACAGACTCGCCAAGTAGTATTCGATAAGGAACCTCCTCACGTTTTATTAATTATTAAATGACCATTTAATCATAATTGTATATAAGAAGCAGTAGTAGATGATACAAAAGAGTAGTGAAGATATTATAAGAAATTTCGAAAATACAATTAAAATGAGCTAGTGCTAGATCATATAATACGCAGGTATGCAGTGGCTAATGTGTGTACAGTAATGCTGTACTTGACGAAGTTTTTTTACACTAGAGTGTTTTTGTGGGGATATTGGATACTCCATAGTCTTTTATAACTTATAAATTTTTCTTTAACTAACTTTTATTTCACTCTGTTCTTTGAAAACATAATTGTAGGTTCATACATTAGTGTTATTTGGTCTGACCCTACCGTTTGGTGATATGTAAAGTGTTGTCTATAAAAGAGGATATGTATAATTGGTTTACAGAGATCATGTACGATATTTTTGAAAATGTATTCAATATTCTAAATTATAAACATATAGCTCCGTATTAATATTTACCTATTATCATCACCTTTAGGCTGCAGATACTAACAGCCTACAACTGCAACGTACTAATTCCACTATAACAGGGTGATACGAATATGGATCATTGTTTTTTATTCAAAGAACACTTTATGTCTAAGTTTAATGTGAGGAATCTGTCTAGGGTAAATTTACCAATAAATGACCATCGTAAGAAAAGCCTCCAGTGATGAATACTCATATTAAAATCACTATGTATCTACTTATAGATATAATTTACATGAGACATCCATATACTGGGGCCTGTCCATTGAGTGGAGTCATCCTATATACAAAACCAATGAATTCTGATACTGTCTATGTTAAAACAATATATTTTCGTAGAATATGTACAGCTTTTAAAACGAATGCAACATTGAACTGCTAAATATTTAATTGCTTAATCACCACTATAATACTAATTTTCTTAATTTTGTAATATCCATTCTATATTTGTTTAATTTATTTTCTTCTAACCGCTAATCATGGGTTTCTATGTGAGAGGCATGTTACGACAGTCGAATGATATGTTATTTCTCCTTTATCCTCATGTATATTATCTGCAAATTGTAATAATACATTATACAGTGAAAGTATAACTTATATTAATAGAAATAAACATGATTAAAGTATATGGTAAAAGTAAATACAAAAATAGCTGATCTAGTGAAATAAAGTTGTTACAATAAAATGTTATACTAGCCTGGACAATATATATTAGGCGGAAAAATAGGCTTGCGACTGTAATACGTAACTGTGCTGTACCTATTCATAAAAGTTTCGGAACTGAGCGTCAATCGCCACGTTGAGGGTGGTCTGAAATAGTCATGTGCATTTAATAGAGCGTCGTAATAATATACAGATTAAGGGATGGCAAAAGTAACTATTTAAAGAGTAGAATTAATTATAATACTTTACGTAAAATATTGCACTTACATTTTCTCTATTTGTCTAGCAACATCGTCGGGACAGTTTACTATTAACTGATGTATAGCAGTTTCAGATGCATCTGATAATAATTGCATAGGAGATCCTTCACAGCAGTATTGTCGATAAGCATTACTCAACAAAGGCTGTAAATTGGTTGTTGGCATTTGTAAATGTGTTTGAGCAAACAAAGAAAATTCTAAACAGAGATGAATTTGTGCCAAGGAGAGTAGCTTTTTCCTGTAAAATGTATTGGAGTTTTAATGGAAAATTTATTTGACGTTGTAACAATTGTAAATATTTTTTGCGATTATGTAAAAAAAATTGTTGTAAAGCTAACATTTCTCTATATGCGTACAAATACAGAATTATCGAACAACATCCTTAGAATTATTGGATTGTAATATATAATATTCTGATTAATTTCAAACCTGTAAGTTCTAATCACAAATTCACCCGATGATACGTTTCCAATTTCTTGAAACATCTCGTAAGGTTCAAGCAAATTTAAATTGCTGAGCAAGAACTTGTAATCCCTACTAAGCTTGCCAAATCCAGCATCAATTAATAATTCTAATGGTAAACTACCTGTCAATAGCGGTGGCAATGATTTTCGTTGCCTCAATGAAAATATGATTCTTGCGATTCGAGTAGAGTTTGTTGAATCCAACTGAAAAACGTGATTTGTGTTTAACAGTCATGCATAACTGTATACTTCAATTAATATATTATTTAATTCAATGCTGTTTTTAATTAATTTCCTTCAGCTAAATAATCACGTACCTCGGGTTCGTAACCCTCTGATAGCAATTTTTCAAAAATCATACAAAACGAATCCATTATTTCTTCATATCTGGCACAACCTTATCAAAAATGTAAAGATTAAATTTATTACCTAATAATAAGAAAACAAATATATCCATTAGAATCCTCACATACCAATAAGAATCCTCCACAGTGCATCGACAAAATCTGTATTTTCTCGAAAATAAACATTTATCAAAATTTTCTGTAGAATATATTTTCCTGTAACATTTTCAGCGCAATGTGAATAGCTGGCTGGCATATCAATATCGTCACCACACTCAGGTAAAGTGCTATCACCATTTAAAAGTCCATGAATCTTTCTCATTATTTCTTCACAAGGCTAAATATTTGTTATTGAAGTAAGACGCTATATATAACTTGTATTTATCATGCTTCCTTTGAAGAAAAAAGCAAAATTTTAAGTAATTACCTTACAAAAAGAAGTAGTAAAATCTTGGGGAAACTTTATAGGCACTGTATTCTGATGCAAATTCGTTATCTTTTGTTCATATGTATCAAGTATTGACAAGTATTGACTGAGTAGTATAATTTCTTTCCACAAGTCATTCATTATTGTACCTGCAGCTATTTCCATGATCTATAACATCATAACACATATACCTTTAAAAAAAGGAATGACAGCATATTCATTGCAGGAACCAAATTCTTTACCAAATTGCATGATGATATTCTTGAAGAAGTGTAAAATGATAAATTTGTTGATCTTGCTTCTAGATATAAGCATCCTGCAAAACTACTTTTAGGAAATTCAATCCAATCCATAGTTTCTGCTTTTGATCCAAATAATTCAAAAACACTGAGAACAGATACGTTTATCTTAAATAATAAAGAACAATGTCAAGATGAAACACTTTTCCAAATGTCCATACCTATATTTTAGATAATGTTTGAAAATAAAGAAAATTTATGAATGATTATCTTATACAACATACTTGATGTTCATATACACCTGATAATTTAACATGTTCCTGCATTAGTATAGGTATGCCATTAATAACTTTTTTAAGCCCTTGCAATTCTGCAATTCGTGCTATAATGGTAACGAACCATTTTGATTGATTGTATATTCCTAATAATACTGTTTTCTCCTTATCTTGTCCATCACATATGGAAAGAATTGGAATTGCCCAACATTTATCCAAATTTTCAATGCATTCATTTACTGACACACTAGAAATTAAAAAAGAATACTTTTTGATTATACAGAACATAGTTCAAAATAAAATATACTAAATTTTAAGAATGAATTAATTTATAAAATTACACTTATAACTTGAAAAGATATTTATTTTACACACTGACCATGCCTGCATCCTAGATATAGGTAAAATTTCTTCTTCTTCTTTTCTCCATTGGCGTTTTGGAATTATTACAGAGGAATTGAATTGGCACTCATCGCTAAATGAGCATTGCAATGGAGAGCCAGTTAGATCCAGTTCTGTAAGATATATTACAATAGCACATCATCCTAAGCTTACCACATGCAGTTAGATACAAATATATTACTTTCGTGAACAAAGCTGTCGTTATATCCCTCCGAATCATTTTGTAAAACTAAATTTTCTGGAGCAGCCTACAAGAGAGTTTACTTATATACAATCTCATACTACATTGACAAACTAAACATATAAGGCTATACATCGCTATCTATAAAAACAAATATAATCATACGTCTAGAAAATCTGATACAACATATGAATATAAATTTAATTGAAAACAAGGTACTTGCATGTTTGAAAAGAATGATTGTATCACATCCCTGTATTTCGGGTAATAACCGTTCAACATATGACAATGTTATTTTCTTCACCGTAAGCGATGACTCTTGAAGAGCAGCTTTAACACGTTCTACGTTGTTCATATTTCACTTTTCTTATAAGATTAAACCGACAGTTTATGAAAAATATTTTATCATGTAGCTCTTAAATTAAACATCTATTTGAATGTCTTCTTCTTCTTCTTGTAACTTGTGGCTTTATGCCCTCGTAGAGGACCAAGTGCCAGGATTTGAAATGTCAACGTGCGTTTATATTGTAACGTTCGAAAAGGCATCGCTCTTAGCTCACTTATACCAGAGATCAGTAAGGAGATGCACAACGCTACGGTTTTAGGCGATACCATAAACATGGCGTTAAATCGTAGCGGCGAGTCCGGGAATAGAATTTTGTGATCATCGCCTCCGTTGATAATGCATATCCCGTCGTAGCCGAACTGAACGTGATCACGAATGGGTAGCCTGGCGGGCAGAGATTCTCCACAACTTACAACTGATTCCCAGAACAACCCTTAGAGAGAGGCCGCTTATCAGATATTGCCTAAATATTTTTTTTTGTAATTTTAAATTCAAGTGTACAGTGTAAGCTCCATAAGATTTACTAAGCCAAAAGCCATCACGTATTAGCCTGCCTGCGTTAAGGAGTGCAGCGATGCGGTGCTAGCTTCCATCATTATTTAACAATAGTTCCAAGCGGAACTATGGTCCCAACATTGAGTACTAGAGAGAACTATTTCGGAACTGTTTGAAGCACAGTCTGAAAACAACACTGGAAGCCAGCTCCTTATGCATACCTGCACTAAAGCATATGGTGCGACTAGTATCCTTAATAGGTATTTTACCGATGTTACGTACCAGAACTATTGTTAAAACCTACCAGGAACTATAAAACTCCTCGAGAACTATTGAAAAAGCCTATTGTTGAAACATTTTTAAGAGATTTTAAAAAAGTGTGGTGCTGGAGCTGACACCCGTGTAGCATCTCAATTTTGAACAATGTTCCAACAATAAGCTTTTTTAAGAGTTCTAGGAGAGTTCTATAGTTCCCGATAGGTTTTAACAATAGTTCTACTACGCAATACCGTCAAAATACGTACTTTCCAAAAATTGAGGTGGCAGTCGTGGTCTATTTTTATTAGGGCCACTGGGACGTTAATTAAGGTCATAGCAGTCTCCTGAGCTTATCCCTACCCTTATCTGTCTTTTCCTTATCAATGATTATTGTTCCCATAAATTCACTTTATTACTTAACATTTATATAAAATACTTAGCGCAATACACTACACACAATTATTTTAGATGTATTTATACGCTGGTACATGGGTAAGTGTTGTGCCGTGATTTTTCGATTCACGGTCACAAGGCGACTCCGGCTACCGATGCAGATAACGTTCTCCATCTCAAAGCTGCGCTCTCGGGTTGATTCGTATAGGTATACCAATGCTCTCGTAAGATTTCGTTATTGTTTAGTTGACGTCCAGGTACTCGAATCTGCCGTGGGGAGATAGTCTCGACGTAGCGAGTTGCCTGGCAGACGACAGTACCCGACGGAGACGTCTCCACTGACCGGCAGAAGCTCGGGTGAGATGCCGGCGCCCCGCTGGAGATGAGCAAATGGCTCTAGAGTGGGCGGAGATAAGGTTTCGTTACGATAAGGGGAGGAACCTCCTGCCCGAGTTAAAGATGACTTTTGATGTTAGACTTTTGTAACTGATTATTATAAAGATTATTTCGATTTGCAAGCCTTAAGAAATATATTTCCGTATATTTTAATCATTTTTACAAGCTGAAGTAGGAATTGTGGCATATAAGCCATATAATAAGCTTATAATATCTTCTTTCTTATATAGCAAGAATATGCTCCTTGTCTTTGAAGATAGCTGCTATAGCTTGTAAAAACTGCCTTTAGTTATGGGATGTAGCCCAAAGAAATTCTTGATCCTTAAACTAGGGTCCATCCTAATGATAAGTCTGGAAACAATAGAAGACATGGATTATACTGCTGTAATACACTGAATTTTTACTTGCTTACCCCTATCTTTATACATATCTGTATCAGCTGATTATTTTAACCTGGACCATCGACATTGCAAGAGGAGCGAACTTCTGTAGCACGATCTTCGTCCCTGTTCCCATTCAGTCTACCCACACTTCCACTTGACCTTCTATCTATCTACCTATCTATCCCTTTTTCATAAAACGGCAACACGGGAAAGATAGGGAATGCGCGGTCCAGTAGTGTATGGTCTAACGCAATCTTCCTGCTCATCTCTGGTCATAGAATGGACTATCTATACATATATTAAATAAAAATAATTGTTCTTCATAAAATATCTTATTTTTTATTATTGATGTTTTATAGTACATAATTGTGATATTGTACTGTATATATAAAACAATGTTTAACTTCTTTGGATACATTTAACTATACTTATTTAATATTTACAATAAGTAAAACCTAATTTTTCTTTAAGAATATTAGGTATTTGGCATTGAGGAAACACTGTAACTCTCTGGTATTGTGGAAAGTGTTTGTCTCAGTTCGAGTTGCTGTATCTGAAAAGAATATAAAATTATATTACCATACAGTATAAAATAATATTATGAAATTCAAAACTTAATTGATAAAAACAACGAAGTTATTTAACTAGTATATATAAAATTATAAAATAAGAGCTCACTTGTTGGCGAAGAGCTTTTTCATTGATCGCTGCCTTTGTCAACAGTTGTTTTACTTTGTCAAGCAGTTCTGATTTATGCAATAATTGTTGCTTAAGCAGACTGACTTCGCTGTTGCTCTCTTCTTCCTTCCGTGCATTTTCGAGCATCACTATCCTTTGTTCTGCTAGTTGCAAGTCTGTTTCTAGTGCTACAACTTGTTGCTGTGCCCGTTCGTATTGCTCTTGCAATGAAGAACTAGTTCCCATGCTAGTCGATCTTCCCTATACATCAAATGGAAAAAAGCATTGATCATAAATTGTTTTAATTGCTTCTACGAAATGATAAATATATCTACTGCTTTGCCCAAACGATTAGCCTTTGAGCTAATTCTCAATCTCTTGTTCTCAACTTGAAGTTTCTCTACAACTCGTTTCAATATGAAAATTGTTTTTTCCAATTCCCCAAAGGACTTTTTTGAGCCTTGTTCTTGTGAGTCTTTATCTGAAGACCGAGGAGTAGAGTCTGATGACTTTTCAACTTTTAGTAATTCTACATACCTACGAAAGTAATTAAATTGCAATGATTTCTTGTTATACAGTTATTGTAAGTATAACGTACTTTTCCAAATGTTCAACTTTTTCGCGCAAACTGGGTGTATCAAGATTGGCTTTTTCAATTTGTAAACGTAGTTCTAAATTTTCACTTTCCAGTTTAAGATTTGACTTCTCAAGAATATCTTTGGCAGTTTCCAATTTTTCCAATTGATCTATCACATAAGCATTTCCCTGTGAAGAATTTTATTGCAATTGACATGTAGAGACAAACATTCATTTTCATTTAATTTTTGTTTATACGCCATCAATGTACTAGTATACCATCAAATTATAAAACGATATACAATATGTACACATTATACAAACAGACCTGAGTAACAGCTTCCAATGCTGCTATATGTCTTCTCTGTTCCTGTATTTTGCATAAAAGTTGTGTATTGTCTTCGTTATCAAGTCTGTCCGTCAGCTCTTTCACCCGATCTCTCAAAGTATCACATTCACGTTGTAAATCTTCGATAATATTATATTGCAAAGCTGTGACTGGCCTTGCTGATAGTCCACCTATTATACTACCATTTTCAAATCTCAATTTACTCTTCAAATACCATTTCTCGCGCTCCATACAAGAAATAACAGATCGAAGCTTCTCGTAATTAGTTTGTAACTTTTTATATTCTTCTGTTTTCTCTTTCAATTTATCTTTAAATTTCTCAGCAGTCTGTTGCCATCTTTTCTGCTTATCCCATAACGCAAGCTCCTCAGCAGTCTATTTAAAATATTTCACACGTATTTTTTGATTGTGTATTAGAATAAATTTTATAAATACACAACGTATCGCTCTTCCCAAATTATTTATTTATATAGATATACCTTAGCCTTTTTTGTTTCTTGTGCTAAATGTTCTCTGTCTAATTGCATTTTAGCTTTGTGCAATTCTTCCTCTAATGATCTGACTTTACGCTCAAGTTGGATCTCCCGCTGTGATGCTTTCTGTTCCTGAGACTTTACCGCCATGTACCTAGATAATGAGTGTAGCATTATTTATTTTCATTTTGTTAAACAATTATATACATCATTTGATGAAATGAAAAACAATAACGGTAAGCGAAGAAAATTCAGGATTTTACCTTCTACTAAGCTGTTGCTTAAGCTCGACTATTTGAGTTTTATATGTCTTCTCCTTATCAATCACGGATTGCAGTTGACGACGTGCTAGATCCAGTTGAATTTGCAAATGATTAGTTTGGTCTCTGGTGAGGTTGTTTGACATCTCCTGCATCTGGCTGTTGTGCACTGCCACGCGTTGAGAAAGGGTTGCAGACTCCGCCAATTCAAATTCGTTCTTCATAGCAGGTAATTGAATAAAATGAACAGATCGTAGTGTAAAGAATTGAAATTGGAGCAGTAACATTGCTGAATCCCTCTAAAGTGATTTATACATTAATCGTCGGCCAGTGAGGGCTACGGATACCTGCAGTTGTTGATACGCCATTGTTAACTCGTGTATCTTGTTATCTCGCTCTTGCAACTCTTTAGCCAATGATATATTCCCTTTTGCTAACAACATTCGATTTTCGGATAGCTGCTGTCTAAGTGTATCTGCTTCCGCTTGCCATTTATTGCGTTCTATCCTGTAGCTCTCCAATTCATTTTTATGCTGCTCATCAAGCCTAAAGAAATTAATTACGCATCACACCATCAACAAAATAAAATTCGTAACTTATTCAAATCCCCACCTTTCCCTCATACGATCCATATGCTTTAGTCTCTCCTCGGCCAATCGATGCCATCGTTCACTTAATTCTTTAGCAATATTTAAATCCACCTCTAGCATCGAGACATTTTCACGCAATTTCACTATTTCTTCCTCAAGGTCGACATTTTTATTAGAATCTCTTGTGGTTCCGTCAAGTCGCTTTAGCTTCTCATCAGCTTCAAGACTGTCGATAATATATTTTGATCTGATGAGCGAAAATGTTATTAATACAATTTTTCCTATGAAATACTGCTATGGACTTACCGTTTCTCCGATTCCTGATTAATTATACGAATTTGTTCTCGTAACGACCTTATCTCTTCCTGCAAACGACTAGCAGCCATACTGTGCTCGTCTCTATCTTCCTTCAGGAGATTTTTATATCTTGTTATTGTCTCCTCCTTTTGAACAACGATCTTTTGCAAGCTATTAATTGTTGATTTTAATGCCATTTTATCCGTACCATCCATACCGATACTATAAGTTTCACATTTCATCTGTTGGACTATATTGTCCCTCTCTGTTATCTGTAAATCTTTGTCATCAATTGCTTTGTTTAGTGCACTAATCTTTGCCTGATATTCTGCAATCTGAGATTCATATTTAATTAAGAGCACTGAACGTTCAGAAGCCAATGTTAGTGCTTGGCTTAATTGTTCATTAAGAAGCGTTAAGGACTCCCGTGGGGATTCCGTTTTATCGTCGCTTTTATGGAAAACTTGTTCATTATTCATAGTAGCACTTGTGTCCTTTGAATAATCGGAAAGAGGTTCACATTGTATGGCAATCGACTGACACTCCACGTGTGTTTGAATTAACGTCGATTTCACTTCTACTGTCGTTGTCTTCCTTTCCATATCATTATGGTCAATGTTATTTGTTGTTGTTACCCGAGATTCATGCTGCTGTCTCCACGATCTTTGAACATTCATCATTTCAAATTCCATAGCTGTAATAGTAGCTTCATGTGCCGCTGATTTGTCGTTGACTATTTGTAGTTCATGTTCCAGTTGAGCAATTTGCCTCTTGTACTTGAAATTCTAATCATAAGGATGAAAACAATTAATATCTTTATATCTGTATATCAGGTTCTATCGAAATGAGAGTTTCTTATATCAGTATGTAGAATTTAAGAAATTGTTTTTTCTATTCTTTTACGAGCGTGACGCTCAATGATACACTGACTGTAGTCACACTTGATACTGAAACTTATGTGCCTGCTGTAAGAATGATAAAGCAAAAATTAAAGTACCCCGAACTTTTATACTGGGAAACTCAACAGCTGGTTCTTTGTAAAAGGATATGACGCATTGCTTTAGCAAGCACTAAAACGAAACATATTGATTAAAGAAACATGATCTTCATTTTTAGTCCTTCATGTTAATATGTAAGATGGACATTCTCTGTTGCACTGTATTTACTTGTTTGAAACTTACTTTTTACTCTCAAATATTAGAGTAATTTTCTGTTAAGAGCAGTAAATAATAATGGCGAATTTCGAAATCATAGCAAATGCTTATTATTTTTTAATAAATCTTACATTTAAGGTCTGCTGAGAATTTTCAGAGAATCGATGCATGAGATCCTGCACGTCTGAACTGCCAATTTTCTGTTCTAGTATGTCTTTTAGTCGTTCCACTACTTCTAACCGGTTGGTTAGTATTTCTTGTTGAAGTTTTAGGCTCTCGCTACTTTTGATGGCCTCTTTCAATTTTGCATCCAATTCAGCACGATCGTCCATTAATTCCTTCAACTTAGAGTTAAATCTTTCTAAAGCAGATAGTGACGTTGATCCTGCGTATTGATTTTGCAGGTATGATATTATTTCAATGTAAGATCTAAAATGTTAAAATTGAGAAGATCTCTATAAAGTATTTATTTAAATATCTTCAAATCTATTTAGAATTGTTAATTGTTACTGATTACCTGCAACGGTTATCACATTGTTTGTCACAATCTTGCATTCTGATTCGAAGTTTCTCACATTTTTTTTTCGAGCTTTCCAACTCTTCGCGGAGAGAGGAATTTTCGCTTTCCAGAATTGTTTGTCGTTTATCTCGTTCCGCTTCTAAAGCTTTTGCATTGTTTAATTCTATACCAAGCATGGCAATTATTTCTTTGTCTTCGCTAATGGCTTGTAAATCAAGAATCTGATGTCTCAAACTATCTAGCTCGAATGTTTTTAAAGTATTAAAGGTATAATGCATTTGAGCCTCTTCTCGTGCGATTTCAGCAGTCTTCTTCAGATTTGCATTCTCTATTTCCAGTACCTGTATCCGTTGTTTCAATTCCTGTATATCAGGATCCTGAGGTTGTAAACAATTTTGAATTCTTATTTGCTCAGATAATCGTCGATGCAACTGTACCAACTGTTCTTGCAGTTCCGAGTTAACCGCCAAAACTTCAGACAACTTAGTCTCACTTTTACCTAGTTGATCTTGTAAAATTTCATTTAATTTTGTCAGATGATTAACGTGCTGGCTTTCTATCAGTTCTTTAGATTCACATTCTGCTAACTTCTTAACGTCCGCTTCCTTTTCATTGGACACATTTTCATGCACACGTTGAGTCAAATGATCCCTCTCTTGCTTCAATAATTCTAACTGGTTCTTCAAGACGTGTCCTTCACTATTATAGTTCTTAGATGCATGAACCTCCAACGCCATTCTCAATCGCAAACATGCTTCATCATATTTATCTTTTATTTCGTTATATTGAAGAACACTCACGGAATTCGACAGGTTACTTTCTAAGGTTGCTACTTTGTTTTCTAACAACTTCTTTTCTTTACCAATTTCGGCAAGGATCCTTCGCAAATCAGTTTCTCTCGCAGCGGCTTCTTTTTGTGTGCAATAAACCTTGGCGGACTCTTTACTGAGAATATCTTCAAGCACAGTGTACTTTCTGTTTAATTCAATTATCTCCACAGCAGCTTCCGCACATTCCTTGCTTTTTTCCATAAACTCTTTTCGAACATTATCTTCACTTGACTCCAAAATCTGCCAACTTCTTTCATACTCCTCCAATCGTATTTCTATTTTTGCCAGAGTGTCTTTTAATTCTTTATTCTCCTCACACAACGCATTTCTTTCTTTTTGCCAATGTTTTAATTCATTCTGATATGCATCTCGCAGCTGATTTATCTCTAAAATATTGGTATTTTCTTCCAGCTCGGACAACTCTGAGTCCGACGGTTTTATGTTTTCGCTTCTATTCGTTAGTAGTTTCTGAAGTTTGTGTTCTTTCTTCTGCAGCTCTTTCCTTTAATGATTTTATGGATTTACAGAAATATATATATATATAGACAATGTAAGAATATATTAGTTTTATACCTTATTTGTTTCAATTGACTTCGCAGCTCAGCATTGCTACCTTCTACGACATTTAAACGACCTTGTAATCTCATGGCTGGATGATACCAACCAGCTACGTGCCTCATATCCAAAGCTTCCAATAATCTTTCCAAAGTGTCTGACTGTACTTCCACAATTCCCTTTCCTAAAATACAACATTTCAATAGTATTAGAAACAAATTTTTCTTCATAAGAAAATTATATTATTTCATTAGAAATGGCAAAAAATTAATGACTCTGGACATAATAAATTTCAAGGTTGAGTAGTATTAAGGATCATCTGTGCGATAAATTGCTAACAACAGCACACAAACAAAAAGAAAAGGTCGATGAAAGTGAAATCTAATAGTAAGTATATAGTATGATTTTATCGTATCATTAATACAAAAAACTTACCATCGTGATTGTGTATACTGTCTAGAATTTCATGCATTCCTTTTCGGAGTGCCTCATTCTCTTCTATTACTATTCGAACATTTGCTTTGATTTCGTCTATCTCTGTCATATGGCGTAGGGATGCTTTCTCTTGTTCAGCTATCCAATCAAATTCAGGCTCCAACATTTTTGTTGGACGAACAAAATCTGTACTTGTGTCTATTGTATCATTCGGAATATTTAACCGTTCTGTTAACTTGCTTAATTTATACTTCAGCGTTCTTATCTACAAAATAATTAAGTGAAAGTCAATAAAGAACATACGAATCAGGAGAACAACTCATTTTCTGCTTATCGCGAATAACACTAATTCTAATAATCGAAGTATACATCTACTTTAATATATATTGCTAACAAGACACTTTGAAATATTTGCACTACATAATGCCCTAATATGAACTATTTTTTAACAGCAGCAGCAGCTTATAAATTATCTAACAAAAAGTATAGATTCGTATGTTTCCACAAAGTGACTTACGTCGGCTTTCATTTCTAAATTCTTTTCAGATAAGGATTTGTTTTTTTGCTTCAGTTCTTCTCTTTCTTTTGCCTCTTCATCGCGCCTTAACGTGATACTGTCAATAGAAATTGGTTCGTCCTCTGACATACCTAATTTTTCCCTGTAATAATTAATCAATTAGTAATTAATTAATTAGGAATATCTGTACGAACTATTGAAGTAGCAATTATTATTATTATAAAGAATAAAATATATTATCCTACCGAAGTGACAATATTTCTAACTCTCGTCGCGAGTTCAAGATTTCCATTTTGTTAACAATATTAATAAGATCTTCTATGTGGGCATTCTTATGTTGCAATTGGTCTTTTAATTCTTTCACTTCACTAATAGTTTCTGCTAATCCTTGGTTCACATCTTCATACTTTTTCAGAATGGCTAAAGTCTCGCAATACTGTAAGTCGTTAAAAAAGTAATAAGCATGAAATTTATTTTATTTACTGTATAAACCAAGATACTCTTGTACCTGCTTGCTTTTAAGCTCAGCATCTTCTTCAGTCTGCTTCAATATACTTTGTAGATTGGATATCTTTTCATTTGCGTCCTGAACTTTCTTCAATAAGTCTCTTTGTTCTTTTCTGCGGCCACTTTTTTCCATTCTAACAATAAATGAATGTAGTTAACTGTATTTTCTTTGTTTTCTATAAACTTCATACTTACTTTCTCATATCAACTTTCATTTTCTCTATAACTTCCGCACTTTCGTTTATTTCGGTGACGGCTTCTGCCAGTTTAGCTTGTAATTCCATAATAGTTTTGTCTCGTTGATCAAGTTCTTCATTTAAATATATAATTTGGGATTTGCTTTGTTCTCTGACAGAAGTAACTGACTGTATCATGGACTGAGATAAATCCTCTTTTAACTGAGAGATTTCCGCATCTTTTTCATCTAATATACTCTATAATTTAATATTTCTTAAGAATATTTGCTACTAGTAAAGGTTGGTATGTTTTTCAACTTAACATCTACAATGTAAGTTGAATTAAAAAGACAAGGTTATTACCTTCCACTCTGTAACTCTTGCATCAATAGCTATGCCAAATTCATCAATTATTTTATCTCTATTACTTTGTTGTGTGGTTAGTTCTTCAACTTGACTAATCAATGCTCTATTCTCTAATTCTAGCTCATTAACTTTATCTGAAAGTTAAATAATTTGTAAATATTAAAGCGTCAATATATTTATTTTATATTTCTGTACTAAATAAACCTTTTAATATGATGTTTCTCTTTTGAAGATTGCTCAATTCCTCTGTCATTTCATTCATATTTTCGGTAGCATCCTCCATCTCTTCCTTTAATGTTTTTAATTTTTCTTTCAGTGTTATATTCTCTTTTTCCAGTCCCTACGAAACATAGGTGGAATTCTTTAACCAGTACAATATTAAAAATTGTTCCTCTAGTTTGAAAAATATTTTAAAAATATCTCACTTCAAGATCCAGTAAAAGTGTTTCAATCTTTCTGTTTTTCTCTTCCAATGTAACCTCGTAATCTGATCTTGCAGCATATTCTTCCTGCTTGAGAAATATGACATAGATTGAGAGTGCACTCAAGTAAAATATAGTTGAAAAATCAATCCAGTGAAAGTAGGTAAATACCGTTAAGAAAAAAATATGAGTTACAACAATCTATATTAACTCACTAGTGGATAAATAATATATTACCTTAGTGCTTGCATTATCTTCAGTAATTAAATCCGATGCAAGGTGACCTAAATTGTCAAAAATAAGTTTAACAAATGAAAGTGAAAAAACATTGTATAATATTTCAAAGATTATACCTTTTCTTACACTTGTAGACGATGTAGATACTGCGCTATGAATTTTTGTTTTTAACTCATCACACTCCAATAATAATGATTCAACCTGTTACAATTAATCCTAATATTACAACTAATTATAATATTGTACGAAGATATATATTAGGTAGATTAATTAATAGAACCACCATTTGGGCACAAGTTATAAAAAACCATGATTGTAACATAATCAACAAACTACTTTCTATCCAATAATTACAATAATATTAAAAAGATATTTACTTGATTATCTTTATGCTGTAGCATTTCCTGGGATAACTTCATAAGTGCCTTAAGGTTATGCATATTGTCAATTTTCTCAACTTCGCAACTTATAACCGTTGGAAAAAGATCCTCGATCTCTTCATCCGTCAAAGAGACGGCTTTGACAGATAATACACGGTCCCAGTCTATGTGAAGCATTTTGTACTTAACTACTAAATCTTAGTTATTCTCCAATATGAACTCGGTTTGTTTGACATTTACAAACGACGCCAATCGCCCGTTGCTAGGGCAACCGGTTGAAAAACTGTTCCGCAATTCACTGAACGCGTAATTAAAATCCCTCCAAAGTACATGAATAATAGTACTCTGGTAGTACACAAAAACGATCGTAAAGTAATTGATAATAAGAATTTCTTTGTGCAAAGCTCATCTGGAGATAAATGCATTATTATAGAATTAAGACGTTCACATTATATGCGAAGTTCGTATGAGGCGCAGCACCGATTAAGAGTCTTATGTATGTATTATACATACATATAGCATACAGAGTGTATCACCAGAAATGCACGTTTGAGATTTGCGGTGAAACGGTGCACAATTTGGAAAATCTGATGTCACAACCATTGAATGTTTTTTGATTGCGCATCGAATGGGCATATTATTATTGTTCGCTCAACTTCCGGTCGCAAATAAAAAAAATTATCTTCGCCATTTCAAAAGATATTGAAACAAGTTAAATGCAAAAGTTGTAGAGCAAGAAAAAATAATAAAGATGAAAAAAAAATTCGGACGGATTGCACACATAATAAGAGAGATATTTGCGTCCGAATTTTTCTCATTTTTTGACAAATTTCTGATATTGGAGGAACGCCTTAGCTTCGTGCAGCAGCTTCACGTCGAACTCACGATTCCCAATTGTTTTGAGGTAAGCATTCAGTCAGACGCAAAGCCGTACAAGGTGGCTAAAACATATTACAATGCTATCTTTCATTACAAGTTACAAGCAAAACTATTCCTGCTGTAGATTCCAATTATTTTGGAGTCTTCGTGTTCCTCGTCGTAGATTTTGGAGTCTTCGTGTTCCTCGTCGTAGATTTTGGAGTCTTCGTGTTCCTCGTCGTAGATTTTGGAGTCTTCGTGTTCCTCGTCGTAGATTTTGGAGTCTTCGTGTTCCTCGTCGTAGATTTTGGAGTCTTCGTGTTCCTCGTCGTAGATTTTGGAGTCTTCGTGTTCCTCGTCGTAGATTTTGGAGTCTTCGTGTTCCTCGTCGTAGATTTTGGAGTCTTCGTGTTCCTCGTCGTAGATTTTGGAGTCTTCGTGTTCCTCGTCGTAGATTTTGGAGTCTTCGTGTTCCTCGTCGTAGATTTTGGAGTCTTCGCTGACCTGGAGGTACATTTCGGAGTCCACGTGTTCCTAATCGTAGATTTTGGAGTCTTCAAATTGTAGCCCTTTGCGACTTCCGGTGGCAAACTTACGCAACACTTGTCGACCCCGGATCTTGTAAAAAATACGTCAAATTGAAAAAATGGACTAGCAGAGAAATGCAAAAACACGTATCACGAACACGGAACACGAAGGCTAAGAAATCGACTTCATATCAAATAACTGGAGCAATAATTAATTCTAGCGGTACCGATAAGATTGGAAACCGCCCTAAAAAGTTAACAAAACACAAAGTATCATTATAAATATGTACATAGTATAATTAATTTAATAATTTAATTTTAACTTCAAACATACCTACTAAACACATGTTGTAACAGTTATATCTTAACTACATAAATTCTATATTATTATATGTATATGTATTAACTACGTAAAAGTTATATAAACATTGCAAACGTATTTGCTGGGTAGTACGAATAAAATTTCTCGAACAGCTGTTCACGAGTCGACTTACGACTGATGGTAGATAATAATATACGTAATAGAAATTATTATTCCAATGTTTAAGCTTCAAACATCAATTGTAAATGATTATTCCTAGCTACCGCAGATTCTCAAGAAAAATACTAATAATTTGTCCTGAGAAGATTCTTGTTATACGCACGAAAATTAATTAGTTGGTGCAATTAAATTATTTACGAATATTTATATATCCTAGTTAAAATATCCGAGTGCCTTTACATGTCATCTGAACTCCCTACAGGTTTCAAAGAGTACCTGTGAGGTTCTGTCAGAAACTGTCAAAAACAAGTAATAATTTGCAATAGAAATTTTTACCAGAATACGAAATGTCCTATCAGAATTTGTGCATGTCTTTTTAATCACTTTTATTGTCTGTTAGCATTTTTTCGTATATTACCAACTATACACGTTGTATTTGTCACTCTCGTCGCAGCTGTAACAATATATTCCCAAAAAACAAAAAGTAACAGTGACATGTCGACAATATTAAAATTTCCCTTTCAAGAATGTAATAATTAAACAAAACTATCGATATACCTAATTACTGTAAGTAGAAAATTGTAACATGGCCAATACTGTTACATTGGTTTGCTGGGTTGAAGATGAATATCAGTAGCATATTCTAACATAATAGTTGGGCCGCGACATTACATCAACCTCGAGGGGACTTATTTACTTTTCTATTCATCAGAGGATGGCCCTTCAAAGTGGAACTAGTGCCGCGGCCCCTATATTTACTACTAACATTTTTCAATATATTGTACTACTTATACTATATATGGGCGTTTGGTAAGATTGACCTTCTTACAACTGAACTTTAGTTAACTTAAAATTTTGAAATTTCAGTCATTCTACATCTTTGTCTTTCGATATTTTTACCCTTAACTCAATGTACAATATATGATAAATATTTAAAAAATGCCTATAATAGTTTGTAAAATCACGTTCAACTTTTTAAATTGTCTTTGTCATATACTTTCAGGTTTGAAATGGTACCTATATATGTTGGAGAAAATATAAGTGATAGAGATCAGTCCCAAAGATATACCAGAAAGCAAATAATTTTGTCATTACACAGATATAGGAAATAATGAAAACTTGTGGTACAATACTTTTCTATAGTATATAACACACGCATTAAAATTGAAGAAAAACGCTAGCCTTTGATTATGACGGTTATGAATAACAGTAATAAATATAACACAATAACAATAAGAACAACAACAACAATAATAATACACGAACATAATATATATACTCACTTTCTCAGTAGCCCATACAGCACAGAAATATTTTGTCAACATTGCCAAAAGTTTCCCTTGAAATAATGCAATATTACCGGAAATATATTGAAAATTGTTTAAATATTTCTGGAATGTTGCAGGAACCTTGCAATGTCCGCTCAGCACGTTGCAATCATAAATATTGCTATAATATTGCCGGTCAATATTTTGGAAATATCAATACATAATATTAATAAAATATAACTCAGATAGATAACTGAGAATAAATTCCAATGCCAGCAATGTATCGTGGGTTTCTTTGGGCAAATTGCCTATACCTCCTTAAATATTACCTCGGTTGTATTTTTAAATACTCTATACAAATGCAATAATTTCACATGTAATTTTTACATGCAGAATACAAAAGTATATATCGACGGCGAAGACGAAAACCGAATAATCGACGGATTAATTATTTACCCGGTCCTACGTTTTTTCATGCGAGTTGCCTTGGCCACCTAGCGGCGCGGCAGCGAACTAGTGTTCGCTCGGATACTCCGAGTCTGGTTAGGGACTCTTGTCACAGATTTCAGCAATATATCAGAAAGTTTTATTTATTATATTGCCCTGAAATATTGTGCAATATTTGACATAAAGACATCAACAACATTGCTGTCGCATTGAAATATTGGAATATTGTTGTAATGTTTTCGAAATATAGTGTGCTGTGTGGGAGATAAATGACGGTAAAACCAACTGGAGGATGGTAGAACAGAATTATTAATTAAGTCAAGTCGAAAATAATACACAAAAATTTTAACTATTTAGCCATAATAAATATTATAATATCTGAGTGAACAGAAACGCCGTTGGAATTAACGGAATTACGAAACTATGAGGGCACGAGGGACTCTTCGCCGTATGACGGGGTTAAGATACTACATTGTATGTTAATAATGTGAGAAAGATAAGACTTGCGCGTTATCGTTGCTCTTTCGTCGAACAGTATTTGTTCAACATGGTGCTTAGTGAGTTGTGTACGCGGTTGCGGAACGTTCGTTTAAGACCGGATTACATTCGGAAACATGTGTCTAGAAAAGTGCACTTCTCTTATGTTTCCAGTCCGAAGCCTAAAAATGCTGGTAATTGAGAAACATGAAATTACGTTATCAATGAGTTTGAAAGATAATAGGCATTCAGTTTAGACCTGGTTGTAGATTTTGAATAAAAATAGAAGAATCCAACGTTATATATAAAATAGACAACTAATTAAGATTGGTATTAATGAAATATAACTAAGTCCGGTTATGCGAATAAAATGTTGCAAAACATGAGAAACAATTTTTGACATTATGACATCGCGTGTTTAAATTTTTCGTTAGGGTTTATTATAAAAATTAAATTTTGCCGTTGACGTTCATTTAATGAATCGCTATATAGGATATCACAGTGTTTTTTTAAAATCAATTTATCTGGTACGGTATTGTCATTCAAAATTGGAGATACGATCAACCTTGTGTGTACATGGCACATTAGGTTTCTCGTTACTCGAGATAGTGTTGTAAACAAAATTTCTCGATTAAACTCAGTACTAATAGATCGTATCGCACTTTAAATTGTACATATCATTCTAAGATGTATATCAACAGAATGATTTGCCATGGAAAAAAAGAGATTGATATGATTTTGAACAATGCGCAGGTGAAACGCAAAAGCTCAACATGTTTCAAGCAATAAATAATGGCCTGAATCTTGTTTTGGAAAAAGATCCAACGGCAGGTATATATGTATATATTTTTATGGCAAGTAATAAAAAATTCAATATATTTATCATATGGATATCATCCCAATTTCAATTTCGTGTACAATTACATTACACAATGGTACAATCAAATGATTAAATGCAGTTGCACGTCAGTTTTATTTAATAATGCCAATCATCGTTATTAAATTGAATTTATAAACAGCTGTAAAATATACGTTACCACAAACAGTTGACTTACGCGGATATGTAAGTGTCTACTTGATCATCATAATTTCTATAAGACGTCAGTAACGCCATTTTTATCTTATCACAGTAGATAGATATAGTAATATATCTTCTTGAGTCAACACGCTAACACAGTTTACGAAATCGGGATATTGATGTTATTTAGCGGATTTCTAATTGACATCGAAACGTTCCCGTAGATACATACAGCTTGCAGTAATTTGAACACTGGTAGCACATGTGCTGTCGTAATATTATTTACAAGGACATTTACATAATACACCAGTATTCCGACACCTTTAATAGCACTTGAAAAATAGGAAATATATATTTAATGTAAACTTTTCACTATCACTCAAATAAGTTATTTCGATCGTGATAGTTATCTTCGGAGAAGATGTCGCATTTGGCGGTGTTTTCCGTTGCACCATGGGACTCCAGGAAAAATATGGGACCGACAGAGTATTCAACACTCCGCTATGCGAACAAGGAATAGCTGGATTTGGAATAGGTTTGGCGAATGCAGGAGCCACAGCCATTGCTGAAATTCAGTTTGCTGATTATATATTTCCAGCATTTGACCAGGTGACACAGTTTTCTTTTTTTCGTCGATAAAAATAGGAAAAGCAACAACAGTGCCGTTCGTAAATTTGCTCTGAGTTCACTCGGAACTCTTTAAAAAAAAAAATAGCTACGTAATTCTATTGGTGCAAGAGAGAGCAAAGAGTTCTGAGTAAGTTTTGATCAAGTTTACGTATATGCCACATATTAAATAAGCAATGATTTTTTATCGACAGCTGGTAAACGAAGCGGCGAAAGTCAGGTACAGAAGCGGTGGAATGTTTAACTGTGGAAAATTGACCATTCGATCGCCTTGTGGAGCTGTTGGTCATGGTGGACTTTATCATTCTCAAAGTCCAGAAGCATACTTTGCTCACACACCCGGTCTTAAGGTGAGAGTTAAGCCGATTTCGAAATATTGCGATGTCAAAATGTAAAGATCTACTTTACCAACAGTCGGTACATAGTCATTATAATACAGCCGCAGTACGACAGATGGAGGGAATATATTATCAAGCTACCGGTAGATCGAGTCTACCTTGTCGTTAAAAGGGAAAGAATACAACTATTACTCCTGATCGCAAGGACTTTGGCTCCTCCTGCCGTTCGTTATACGTCGCAATCACTGCAGCTCTTAAACTTTCTATAGTTGCACCCCATGAATATCTTGGAACGGCATGAGCTCTCATCATTGTGAGTTATGCACGAAGAAAGTTTATGCTGCAGCCGCGCCTGCACCACGATTATCGAATGCTACGCGTTGCACAGATGCACACCGACATAGCCCGACACAGAGTTCATTTCTGATCTCATCCAGAAATGAAATATCGCAATATCCTTTCAGATTGTAATACCTCGCGGACCGATCCAGGCCAAAGGATTGCTTCTGAGCTGCATAGATGAGGAGGATCCTTGCATAATATTCGAACCGAAAGTTCTCTATCGATCGGCAGTCGACGAGGTACCTCTCGCTCACTACAAAACGCCAATCGGCAAGGCCGAAGTTCTTAGAGAAGGTACGTCTTGTCATTAATATATGCCGGTCCGAGAAAAGAAGAGTATCTTTACATTAGCCTAAGACGAGGATGAGACCACTTTTGACTGTGTATAATCGAATTAATTCCTTATCCGATGGCGGATCCTGCGTCGATATACCGATCCTGAAACAGGATATAAAGTAAAATGTGGGTAACCGGCTGTTGTGCAAGGTGAAACGATTGTATCGATTTCGCGTAGGAGATGCCGTGACTCTAGTAGGCTGGGGTACTCAGGTGCATGTGCTGCGCGAAGTGGCCGATCTTGCCCAAGAGAAGCTCGACGTATCCTGCGAGGTTATAGACCTCGTTTCTATTCTCCCCTGGGACATGGAGGCTGTCTGCAAGGTAATCAGTTTTACCTCAATTCCCATCAATCAAAAATTACAGACACCGCCCTCATCTAAAAAGGGTCAAAAACTCGAGTGCAATAAATATACTGCAGAAATTGTATTATATGACAAGAAAAAAGAACATCGGATCGTTATTATATGATCACAGTAAACTGAATATTGATTTATGCAAATTTCTACAAACACTTATAACAAGCAGATAAGTGGGTTTACACTAATATAGAATCGCTCTCGAACTGTGCCCAATCGATAAATATTTGTGAATCGATAATTATCTTCAAATATACATATTTGATACGCGAATTCTCTAAGGGCGAGTAAAAAAATTAAAAAAAAAAAAGGAGTGGATCATCTTTGAACGTGAGTTTTTTACATTTTTCTTTCGAATGATTGTTTTTGCTTCGGGTATATTCCGAAATTCACTGTCAGCACGTTTTGCTCAGTATCGTAGTGTCCCTGTTTATCTGTATCCAATCGAGTGAGACACAGGCCTGTTTTCTTGAACGCGGTTCAATGCACAAACCCTGTTTATCTTCAGAATACAAGTGCCTGATTGGCTAATAGCACAGTTAAACTGAGTTTACGCAGTGGACCGCGTCGATGAAAACGGGCGACAATGATGCATCGAGTCAAATTTCGGAACGTAGTTTAAACTGGGTAGAATGATAATCGTGCAATTGGCACAACAGAGTAACAAAACAATAGTTACCGTCTATGAGCTTTAATACGCGGCACTTAACGCTGTCTACATAAATTATTATTGTCCTAGCAATGTGGGCCAATATAATTCGCATTCAATCTCATTCCGCGCTGCTCCATGAACAATTATTACGTTACAGTCGGTAAAGAAAACTGGTCGTGTTGTCATCGCTCACGAAGCACCGCTTACTGGTGGTTTTGCTGCTGAAATTGCAGCTACAATTCAGGTGAAAAAAACACATGAAATTACGTTTGATAATATAACGATATTCAAATCATCAATAATTACCTGGAAATCGTGATTTTCAGGAAGAATGTTTTCTCTACCTGGAAGCACCAGTGCAAAGGATAACAGGATGGGATACTCCATTTCCACTCGTATTCGAGGACTTTTATTTGCCGGATAAATGGCGCTGTTTCGATGCTGTAAAAAGGATTCTCAACTACTGAAGATCGACACTGTGCAAGGGTCTTGAAGGACGAGAAATTTATATTTCTAGATCGTAAAATCCTCGAACGGGGAAAGGTTCGATAAGTTCCAGGATGTAAACTCTTTTTTGATATTCTTGCAAAAAATATTTAGAAATAGTCTTGCAAGACGTGCCTCGATATTGCTTGAGATCTTATAGACTGATTATAGTAAATGCATTTCATTAAAAATATTTGCTTTGTCCCACTCTGAGTCATTCGCTGGGGTCACTTCTCAAGATTATTGAATACATTCGTATTATGATGATTATTGATCCGCATCTCAAAACAGGAGAATATATTTTTATACGCAACTATTTGTATGGCTATTGGATGTAAAATTGTTATTGGCATTTAGATCAAATATAATTAAAGATATGGAGTTACGTTGAGTACTTGTCGGTTAGGCAAGAATTCATAACTAGATGTGAAATGCCTTCGGACCAGTGTTTGATTGGGAAAAATTGTATGTTTAATAACACAGACGTCACTGGTATGGAGTATTGCTTTTATTTAGATTTTTTTTTCATTCACATTCCGACGATCGAGAAGTATGGGATTTCGTAAGAGTGCCCGTAGCAGCAAATCGCGGGCGGCCAGTTGCTCCGAAAACTAGTTACATACCTATCCGCAATGACCCTGGCCCGATTCGGGTTGAGCCAGTCTACATAAATTACAGTATGTCTAAATTAATAAGACGACGGACGATAAGCGAGGATAGACGTTAAAGGTCGCGAAATTATCCGGAACGCAGGAAATACTGGAATCCACTGGGCTAGGTTCCCGGAGAAAGGTCGGCGCGGTAAGTAGAATGGAATTTAATGATTTCGAAGGGGACGCAAATCTTTGTTCGAGTTAGCCGGGGAAAGGATTTCCGAGAAATCTTTTTTACAGGAAAAGAGAGTGGCCGAAGTGCGAATGAGAATTGTAAACGTCAATTGCATATCAGGTGTGTTGGCAAAGTAAGAAATTATCATGCGAATGACGTAGAACGTGCTGAATAGGAAGTAAAGATGGTAAAACAAGAGGAAGACGCATAAAGATGCAGGAAATATTGTATATACGCGAGCGTGATCTAGATGGAGTATAATTTAAAAAATAAACGATTTCCTTCGTCTTCCATAATAAAGTGTATGGCGTTTACAAGGCGGATCCGGGAGCTGGACTCGAGAAGCTGCAAATTGACATTTGAGGAAGGCGCTAAAAGAGGCGCGCATGAGCGCGTATGCAAATGCAAATGGATGGAGGGAATGCAAATTCTATGCTCATTGTCAGACGTTTTATAAATCGTACGAAAAAAAAAAAAAATCCGAGGGTACGAAGGATTTCAGAGGACGTCGATACGAGAAATGTCAAAGAGAGCTGTATATTGACTTAGGGTTATAGTCGTGTGGCTGAATTGGCAAATTGATCGTATGTCAAAAATGTTCGCTTGATCGATATATCTATAGTTCACTTTGGTACACGCACAGAAAGCGCCGCTCACCCCATTGCCACAACAAAAATGTTCAATGCTAAAGGAAGTGTGCGCCGCCAGTACAGTATTTTGTAATTTGAAAGGGAAACCACATTCTTTCTCTGTGTATTATGATACGTGAAAGTTGGCAACAGTGCACAGAGAGACGGAGCCAGTCTCTCCGTGGAGGTATAGACTATATCGAAGGTCGACGAGTTGCTTTTTATTAGACGCTTTTTGCGTAAATAGTAACGGGTTGGCTGCTAACATATGGTAGAGATGCGTTGACAGTCGATGACTCTCAAGTGATTTTCAATGGCGCATACTGCCTACGAATCGTGGATCGATCAACCTCCGAAAATACGAACCGGATGCGATCACATCTTTTGAGGCTTTCTCGAAGGACCAATTTGCGCGCACTTCATTCGGTTGCTCTAATTCATTAGTTACTTCGTCTTCTTTGTTTTCTTATCGAACCTATTAACGGCCATCTCAATTTCTCTCGTAATCACAACTACTGTCCTTTTAATCGTGTAGTAGTTTCTCTTACCTAACATAACCTAACAGAATACACTCTGTATAATTTTGTTTTCCTTGCGTCTTGCACGTAATTTTTAATTCTTCCTTCGAGTTTATTTACATTGATTTATTTTTTTTATTTTTCTTTCTTCTTACGTATCGACCCACTGCAAACTAATTTCATTATCTTCTACGTCACGTCTCTGAGGGCGGATCCTGATTTTCCATTTCCGGATGTCCGTTTTACAGATCGTATATTGTATACATCTGGTGCGCATGCGCCCTTTCGGTAGTTATAATACTTTTTCCGAAGGTGAAACCTTCCTTGACATTTTCACTGGTAGCTTCTTGTCCGGTTCTGTTGAATTACAGCTGCTGGAGGCCGACTTCTTGCAGATTTGCATTAAACTGTACTCTCCTAATTTTTTGAATTTTCACACTCGTGACGTAAGAAGGCTAATGATCAGTTCTTAAGTATATGCTTAATTATTGGGTGGCGATGCAAGGTAAAATATTTTGCAAGGACTAAAAATATGTTGGAGTTTTTAAAAATAATTATGACAGAGATAGTCATTGCGTTTAAAAGTATTTTCATTGTTATCTGTCCTTTTACATGAAAATATAAATGTATTTTTTTTCAAAGAATAATAAAGTCGAATTAAATTCAATATAATTCAATTAACGGTAATAAGTTTCTTGTCACTTATCCTTTTCGTGATTAGTGATTTACAGATCAATCGCATCATAATGATGATAATCATTTATGAAAATCAAAATATACGACTTGAACTTGCACAAGTGGAAATAAAAAAAAAATCAAATTGCCCAATTTAAATTGCTGGTAACGCATAAGCGGAAGTAATGATTTCCTCGATCGACCGCATACCTCCTGTTTTCGAAATATTCCGCTCGTTGTCCCGAAGAGGTCATTTTTTTTTTATTAGTAAAACATAAATTCCATGATTTCAAAAATAGCATTAAAAAATGACTCATCATTTATTAAGTTTCCTATAATTTCTTATATCCAATGAAAAAATCAAGTTATGTAGCCACCACTCCTACGATCCAAAATCCTGCACAGAAAATATATTACTCAATAGATTTCAAATTGCATCACCACAGCAAAGCGTGCGTTCTTCTTTATGAATTATATTTGCCACGTTTTATGCTAAGTAAAGAATTTCATTAACTAGTTAAAGTTTCATTTTTCGAATCGCGTCCTTATAAAATCGAACGTCATTACCCCGTTTATTTTTGAGCTAATGATTCGATACTTGCTACGGGTAAAAAATACATTTCTATAAATATAAGGCTACGGGCTCTGTAAAATTCTATCGACTTTGCAGTTTCCTGTACGACATGCATCGGCCTGTGTAATATGTAATACAACCTAGATGCAATGACATTTAACGTTTCTGTGGCACGTAGACACAGTCTGTTACCAGATTCTATATACATATATACATATATACATGTATATGTATATAGTTTGATACGTGAGAGCGGCGAGTGCAAAGAAAAATTGAGTTCCAGCTACCAGCAAGTCTTACCAGAGTTTTAAGCGGCTCAAGTCGCCCAGCTGGTTCAGACACGAAAGCGAACGCGACTCGAAACATTTAACTGTCGGTAAATTCCTCGGAGTATGTTAATTGCATAGAAACTCAGATATATTGCAAAGGATCGCAAGCAGTCTCGAACATCGATTTTAAATCGACGGCCTCCATATATATATATATTTACCCCAGTTACAGAGATACTTAGTTGGTACCGCCACTCACAATGACGTTTATTCGATAAATATACAGTGCGTACGGTTGCATATGGGTGCACCCGTGCATACGCATTATCATACGTATATAAATCGAGCTCCGGTACGGAACTAAAATATCGTTAATTCCTACCAGAACGATGCACTGCAATTGGTGTGTTACAAATTGAAATTTACATAAAAAGGTGTGATAATTATTTTTGTACTCGTATACGTACCATCTGAAACGTTTAGGATGACTGGCGAATGTTTCGTTTATTTTTTATTTGAATTCGTATAACGTAGTTTATTATGATTATTTGGTTAGATTTTTATTTGCGATAGACGAACAACTTCTTGCTTGGGATATAATCGAAGAATAATTGACTGTCCGATGTCGATTGTCAACTAGATTGAATAACATGAAAAAGTCTGTAGGAAAAAAAAAATAGGAATCAATCGCTGGCGTGTAATAGGTTATGTCGGATTGCGAGCAATTCAATGGATTGCAGCGCAACTTGGCAATCGTAGCTTTGTGCATTCTTTCTCAAGAAAGCGGCAGCAAATTAATTCGCTTCACGGGAATCGGTAGGTCGTTACCGAAGCGCGAGTCATTATTTAATTATAGTTTTTTGTTGTTCGACGGGATACATACGAACCAGAGGTGATTACCACTGATTTTATCTATAGCCGTGCAGGCAGAAATAGGTGGTTTATATATATGTACTGGTTTTTTTCTTCGTCGACCTTCGATACTCTCTACTTTTACAGAGGATACGACAATTTTCTCTGCTTGAAACCGTAATCTCCGTGCGAGGGTAATTTACGGATTTACGTTTATTATCAATAACTGTTATCCAATCGCAGCCATATACAATACGGACGCTGGAAAAAAAATATCGATTTGTTCGTAGGTTAGGTTAAGCTTCTACACCGATGTACGAACTTGCCTTAATTTTGTGAATTTTTTTTAAACAGCGAATTTCATTTTGATTTCCAATTTTATTGTGATTCTTACGTAATTGCTGATATCTTGTTTGGGTATTTTTTGTACTTTCTTCTTATCCTACTTTAAATGGATCCTGGTACCGAAGGTCCTGCCTTAGCAAGGATCACAGGAAGCACTACCCTGCCTTGGATGAGCTATTACATATTTAAAGGTTGGTATACGTGATAGCTGGACGACCTTGTTATTTTTAACATTACTTCTGTAGATTGTGCAAGTATTCACGTACGGTTTTGAAATTAATATTTATCAGTATTTAATTGATTTGCACCTTGGACACTTTGCATTTGGTCGCGACTTGACATTCATGAAAACGTTATCTATTACTTTTGAAAATTCGCACGTTACGATATATGAATAATTTGAATAGCACTTTACCAACGTACTGTGCGTATTACGATTTCTTTTTCCATGCTACTCAAATTAATTAACTTACAGGCAGCCGCAAGTGGCTACGCCACATATGTATACAGGGTGTTCGTTATGAAACGCACTGTAGTAACACTGTTATATTCCTTTTCAAATTCTAATGAATACGTGTATTTTCATTTTTTATTGCATATATCAAAATTTCGAGATAATCAAGGTTGAAGTTGCATTAATGCGACCAATCAGAACGCGTTTAAACGGAGCGTAGATGACGTCGCGAGCCAGCCCGTAAGGCCTGCTTACACTGGGCCAATAACATTAAGAGTATCGCCGTTGTGTCCCTGTTTATCTGCATGTAATTGAGTAAGATACAAGAGACGATACTCTTAGTGTTATTGGCCTAGTGTAAGCAGGC